AATTATTTTATTGTGTTTTAGATGGAGATAAGGAACATATGATCACAATACAACAACCTGATCATTAATTTTATTGTGTTTTAGATGGAGATATCTAACATATGATCACAATACAACAACCTGATCATTAATTTTATTGTGTTTTAGATGGAGATATCTAACATATGATCACAATACAACAACCTGATCATTAATTTTATTGTGTTTTAGATGGAGATATCTAACATATGATCACAGTACAACAACCTGATCATTAATTTTATTGTGTTTTAGATGGAGATATCAAACATATGATCACAATACAACAACCTGATCATTAATTTTATTGTGTTTTAGATGGAGATATCTAACATATGATCACAATACAACAACCTGATCATTAATTTTATTGTGTTTTAGATGGAGATATCTAACATATGATCACAATACAACAACCTGATCATTAATTTTATTGTGTTTTAGATGGAGATATCTAACATATGAACACAATACAACAACCTGATCATTAATTTTATTGTGTTTTGGATGGAGATATCTAACATATGATCACAATACAACAACCTGATCATTAATTTAATTGTGTTTTAGATGGAGATAAGGAACATATGATCACAATACAACAACCTGATCATTAATTTTATTGTGTTTTAGATGGAGATATCTAACATATGATCACAATACAACAACCTGATCATTAATTTTATTGTGTTTTGGATGGAGATAAGGAACATATGATCACAATACAACAACCTGATCATTAATTTAATTGTGTTTTAGATGGAGATAAGGAACATATGATCACAATACAACAACCTGATCATTAATTTTATTGTGTTTTAGATGGAGATATCTAACATATGATCACAATACAACAACCTGATCATTAATTTTATTGTGTTTTAGATGGAGATATCTAACATATGATCACAATACAACAACCTGATCATTAATTTTATTGTGTTTTAGATGGAGATATCTAACATATGAACACAATACAACAACCTGATCATTAATTTTATTGTGTTTTAGATGGAGATAAGGAACATATGATCACAATACAACAACCTGATCATTAATTTTATTGTGTTTTAGATGGAGATATCTAACATATGATCACAATACAACAACCTGATCATTAATTTTTGTGTGTTTTAGATGGAGATATCTAACATATGATCACAATAAAACAACCTGATCATTAATTTTTTTGTGTTTTAGATGGAGATATCTAACATATGATCACAATACAACAACCTGATCATTAATTTTATTGTGTTTTAGATGGAGATATCTAACATATGAACACAATACAACAACCTGATCATTAATTTTATTGTGTTTTAGATGGAGATATCTAACATATGAACACAATACAACAACCTGATTATTAATTTTATTGTGTTTTAGATGGAGATATCTAACATATGATCACAATACAACAACCTGATCATTAATTTTATTGTGTTTTAGATGGAGATATCTAACATATGATCACAATACAACAACCTGATTATTAATTTTATTGTGTTTTAGATGGAGATAAGGAACATATGATCACAATACAACAACCTGATCATTAATTTTATTGTGTTTTAGATGGAGATATCTAACATATGATCACAATACAACAACCTGATCATTAATTTAATTGTGTTTTAGATGGAGATAAGGAACATATGATCACAATACAACAACCTGATTATTAATTTTATTGTGTTTTAGATGGAGATAAGGAACATATGATCACAATACAACAACCTGATCATTAACTTTATTGTGTTTTAGATGGAGATATCTAACATATGATCACAATACAACAACCTGATCATTAATTTTATTGTGTTTTGGATGGAGATATCTAACATATGATCACAATACAACAACCTGATCATTAATTTTATTGTGTTTTGGATGGAGATATCTAACATATGATCACAATGCAACAACCTGATCATTAATTTTATTGTGTTTTGGATGGAGATATCTAACATATGATCACAATACAACAACCTGATCATTAATTTTATTGTGTTTTAGATGGAGATATCTAACATATGATCACAATACAACAACCTGATCATTAATTTTATTGTGTTTTAGATGGAGATATCTAACATATGATCACAATACAACAACCTGATCATTAATTTTATTGTGTTTTGGATGGAGATAAGGAACATATGATCACAATACAATAACCTGATCATTAATTTAATTGTGTTTTAGATGGAGATATCTAACATAGGATCACAATACAACAACCTGATCATTAATTTTATTGTGTTTTAGATGGAGATATCTAACATATGATCACAATACAACAACCTGATCATTAATTTTATTGTGTTTTAGATGGAGATATCTAACATATGATCACAATACAACAACCTGATCATTAATTTTATTGTGTTTTAGATGGAGATATCTAACATATGATCACAATACAACAACCTGATCATTAATTTTATTGTGTTTTAGATGGAGATATCTAACATATGATCACAATACAACAACCTGATCATTAATTTTATTGTGTTTTAGATGGAGATATCTAACATATGATCACAATACAACAACCTGATCATTAATTTTATTGTGTTTTAGATGGAGATATCTAACATATGATCACAATACAACAACCTGATCATTGATTTTATTGTGTTTTAGATGGAGATAAGGAACATATGATCACAATACAACAACCTGATCATTAATTTTATTGTGTTTTAGATGGAGATATCAAACATATGATCACAGTACAACAACCTGATCATTAATTTTATTGTGTTTTAGATGGAGATATCAAACATATGATCACAATACAACAACCTTATCATTAATTTTATTGTGTTTAAGATGGAGATATCAAACATATGATCACAATACAACAACCTTATCATTAATTTTATTGTGTTTAAGATGGAGATATCAAACATATAATCACAATACAAAAACCTTATCATTAATTTTATTGTGTTTAAGATGGAGATAAGGAACATATGATCACAATACAACAACCTGATCATTAATTTTATTGTGTTTTAGATGGAGATGTCTAACATATGATCACAATACAACAACCTGATCATTTATTTTATTGTGTTTAAGATGGAGATATCTAACATATGATCACAATACAACAACCTGATCATTAACTTTATTGTGTTTTAGATGGAGATATCAAACATATGATCACAATACAACAACCTGATCATTAATTTTATTGTGTTTTAGATGGAGATATCTAACATATGATCACAATACAACAACCTGATCATTAATTTAATTGTGTTTTAGATGGAGATAAGGAACATATGATCACAATACAACAACCTGATTATTAATTTTATTGTGTTTTAGATGGAGATATCTAACATATGATCACAATACAACAACCTGATCATTAATTTTATTGTGTTTAAGATGGAGATATCAAACATATGATCACAATAAAACAACCTGATCATTAATTTTATTGTGTTTTAGATGGAGATATCTAACATATGATCACAATACAACAACCTGATCATTAATTTTATTGTGTTTTAGATGGAGATAAGGAACATATGATCACAATACAACAACCTGATCATTAATTTTATTGTGTTTTAGATGGAGATAAGGAACATATGATCACAATACAACAACCTGATCATTAATTTTATTGTGTTTTAGATGGAGATATCTAACATATGATCACAATACAACAACCTGATCATTAATTTTATTGTGTTTTAGATGGAGATAAGGAACATATGATCACAATGCAACAACCTGATCATTAATTTTATTGTGTTTAAGATGGAGATAAGGAACATATGATCACAATACAACAACCTGATCATTAATTTTATTGTGTTTAAGATGGAGATAAGGAACATATGATCACAATACAACAACCTGATCATTAATTTTATTGTGTTTTGGATGGAGATATCTAACATATGATCACAATACAACAACCTGATCATTAATTTTATTGTGTTTTAGATGGAGATGTCTAACATATGATCACAATACAACAACCTGATCATTAATTTTATTGTGTTTAAGATGGAGATATCTAACATATGATCACAATACAACAACCTGATCATTAACTTTATTGTGTTTTAGATGGAGATATCAAACATATGATCACAATACAACAACCTGATCATTAATTTTATTGTGTTTTAGATGGAGATATCTAACATATGATCACAATACAACAACCTGATCATTAATTTAATTGTGTTTTAGATGGAGATAAGGAACATATGATCACAATACAACAACCTGATTATTAATTTTATTGTGTTTTAGATGGAGATATCTAACATATGATCACAATACAACAACCTGATCATTAATTTTATTGTGTTTAAGATGGAGATATCAAACATATGATCACAATACAACAACCTGATTATTAATTTTTTTGTGTTTTAGATGGAGATATCTAACATATGATCACAATACAACAACCTGATCATTAATTTTATTGTGTTTTAGATGGAGATATCTAACATATGATCACAATACAACAACCTGATCATTAATTATTTTATTGTGTTTTAGATGGAGATAAGGAACATATGATCACAATACAACAACCTGATCATTAATTTTATTGTGTTTTAGATGGAGATATCAAACATATGATCACAATAAAACAACCTGATCATTAATTTTATTGTGTTTTAGATGGAGATATCTAACATATGATCACAATACAACAACCTGATCATTAATTTTATTGTGTTTTAGATGGAGATGTCTAACATATGATCACAATACAACAACCTGATCATTAATTTTATTGTGTTTTAGATGGAGATATCTAACATATGATCACAATACAACAACCTGATCATTAATTTTATTGTGTTTTAGATGGAGATATCTAACATATGATCACAATACAACAACCTGATCATTAATTTTATTGTGTTTTAGATTGAGATAAGGAACATATGAGCACAGTACAACAACCTGATCATTATTTTATTGTGTTTCAGATGGAGATAAGGATACCAATAAAGAAGAATTACAAAGAGTAACATTTCAGCCATCTTTAAAATCATTTGAGGAAGACATTTTTGATGGAATGGGTATCAAAGAGGATCGTAAACCTAGAAAGACTTATTGGTACTGAGTACAATTGTTCCTCAAAGTCATTCTAATTGGAGTGAATATATTACCAACAGTTTTGCCAAAGGAAAGGACGAAAAGTGGAAAATTATTGATGTTGACAATAAGAAATAAAAGTTTTAATTAAACCGTTGTAATTGTAGTCTTCTGTTTAAAAAGTGAGAAAAAGCGTTGTAATTGTAGTCTTCTGTTTAAAAAGTGAGAAAAAGCTACATATAAGTATTGCTGTTCTGTTTTAATTATAATTATTGCTTCCAAGCTTCCTTCCAATGGTTCATACCCTCAATCAAGATCCAAGGATTTTAGAATTATAGTATGGTTCACATGTACAGTCTTGTAATATGGTTTGTTTAACAAGATTGCACTTTGGTAGGACTAAGTATGCATGAAAGAATATATCTGTATGTTATTGTGTAGTACTGAGGTTCAAAATGAAAAAGAATTATATGAAACAATTACATAAACAGTTATAAGTTTGATATTGGTGAATAATTTAATTTTGGATGTAACGCCTCTTCTGATTGGCTGACGTTGTTTTGTTTATCAGCTCATAGACATAATTTTGTCATGTGACCGTGACGTCATCAACGTTTTTTCATGGTTTACTCCGGTTTAAAATGGAATTTAGAATTAAATTATAAGAAATGACTGTAATATTTTTTCTGTCTATTCGAAATAACATAAAAAATGTGGTGCAGACTTTAAAATAACCCGCTATGCGGGTTATTCAGTGTGCACCACATTTTTGATGTTATTTCTTCATAGACAGAAAAAATATTACAGTCATTCCTTAAAGGGATTACAAAAACACTGAGATAGAAGGAAGATTGTGGGGTCTGTATAGGTCTTAATGAACAAAGCAAAAAGTTGCAGAAGCATCAAAGGTAAAAGAATTGACAAAAGTTGCTGAAGTGAGAGTTGTGGCAGATGCTTCCTCTATTGTTGCTTGTATTGAATTTAGTTATATAAGAAAACTAAGTCTACGAAAAAAATACTTTTCAAGCCAGATGTAGAATATTTGGTGAATGGAATGATTTTAGATGTACATGTCCCTCTGGCAGGGTTCATCTGACCTTAACCTCATTGTGGTGGTTGGTTCATTGGTCAACATTAAGTTTTTGTGATAATGTCTGTTTCTTAGATACTACAAGCAATAGGTCAACTGTATTTGGTGTCTGGAATGATTGTAATAAGTACATGTCTGTTTGGCAGGGTTTATCTGGCCTTGACCTCAAATTTCATTGATAATAAGAGGTTTAATTGATACCTATAGTAAAACCCTCATCTTAAAAACATTCAACATAAATGCAGGCAAGACTTTCAGCGCATGAACTCTTGTAGCATTCAATGAGAAAAAAGAAAAGTTCCACTAATTGAAAACCAGAATAAATTTATTCAAATCTGTCCAAAATAGGAAATACACATCTTTAATAAGTGGGCAATCACCGTGCAACCTATTCTCACCTCTTACATTGCAATGCAGGTAGCAATTGTTGATGCTGCCAGTGGGGGAAACAGCAGGCCTCAATCTGACTTCTATTAACTTTCATCACAGGCTAGACAGAAATAAATTTGCACTAAGGATTGAAAAGAAGGAGGTATGATAAGATGTAAGAAGGTGTGGTATGATCACCAATGAGATAACTATCCACCAGAGACCAAATGATGTAGAAGTAAGCAACTATAGGTCACAGTACAGAATTCAACAATGAGCAAAACCCATACAGTATAGTAATCTATAAAAGGTCCCTACATGACAAAATTGACAACAATTCAAACAAAGTACTAACAGCCTGAATTATGTACAAACCATAAACTAAAGAATATGATAGACAGCGACCAACCTTTACCACTGAATTACAGGCTCCTGACTTGGGACAAGCATATACAACCCCTAACTTAGGGCAGTGGTGTAACAGCACAACATAATAACAAACTATACAAATTAATTTGAAAAGGCTTGACTCATTACGTTTGATTACAAAACATGTGTAAAGTTATAGAAAATCCACAGCCTTTCCCAATAGTATCTGCAAAAAAAAAAACAAAGAAGGATAAAAATAGTCATTCAAGGGCAATAACTCAAAACGGAGATGATTGATAATTTCAACATGTTGCATATTTGAAGATCTTATTTTGTTGATCATTTTTGATTCTTAAAGATTCTCTTATCTTCTGTAGTTTTTGCAAATTTACAAAAATGGGTAAAAATCATCATTTAAGGGCAATAACTCTTGTAAAGAGTTGATCCATGATTTATGATTTTGGATATGTTGACTTCTTTGTAGATCTTGTCCTGCAGATCCTTTTTGGTTTTTTTCCAGATTCCTACTATCTATTATAGTTTTCAAGATAATATCCAACAATGACAGACATCAGACGATGGATGCCAAGTGATAAGTTATCAAAGCTCACCTGGCCCTTTAGGCTAGGTGAGCTAAAAATGGAAGGAAAAAAATATTCAAAATAACATGAAATGTTTATTTACTGATATGCTTTTTCTTAATCACATTAAGTACTTGTGAACAGATATACATTATTGTTGTTCTACAATAGATTTTAAATGCAATACATTTTGTATTACACAATGTACACTGCAGTACAGATTGTATTATTTTAAAAATGCATGAATGTTTCTATATATATATATATATAAAGGATATTTGCTGGTTAGAGTTTCAAAATTACAATAAAACAAATAAAAATTCCAAAAATCTGCATTTTGCTTTTGAATTTAGTTCCAAGTAACAGCTGAGTTGTTAAATCTTATTAAAAGTAAATTTCAATAGTGTGCCAACTGAGAAAATTAACTAGCTATAAAGCAGTGTATCTTTATGATAGAAATACATTGTTTTCCCTTTATATGTTTCTACCATTTTTTTAGTATTATTTACCATTAAACATGATAAATGATATCTATATGTAGATGTTAACCAACAAAGTATGTAATGTACAATTTTTGAGAGAACAAAAATAGTAAATAAAATTAGATCAAATTTGATATGTCATGATTAATAAGCTAAATAATGTTGAAATCTATGAAACAATGTACAAATGAATTACAAATGTAATATCAAAGCTATGATTTAGTTTTAATGGGTGGTATGTTTTTTGTTGATACACATTTATCACACACCCATTCTGCATACACTTCTTGGGTTAACATAAGGTAAGCAGGTTCTGTTAGTCTTGAACAAGTCCTATGAAACCAAAAGTTACATCCACTTTCACATAATATAGCTTGTTCATTATCATGTACTTCTTTATGACAAACTCCACATGGATAAATTGGTGGGGCGTTTGGGTTGGACGGATTAAAAACCATTGGCTGGTTCATTGGATAGACCTTGCCTGGCATCTGTTGTGGACTTGGACCATTAGATGAAGAGATAGGAGGGATAGGTGGTCCCTGGTGATTATTTTGCATTGTGTTTCATCCAGTGTTTTCAAATGTCAGTACCTGAAATACAATAAAGTAAATTTAATTCAAAGATATAAAAGGCTTTAAAATAGCCGACACAATATAAACAAATTATCAATTAATCATGTTAATTACTTATGGTTATAATACTTAATAACTATTCAATGCTGAAAAATAAACTACAACAAGGTGTATAATTTGCTATACTTCGTCTACATACATGTAAGACTCATCAATAGCGCTCTCACCTAAGCAGTTGGAAGACCAAATCTAATACAAAGTTTAATAGCAACAAAACCATACGGCCTTCAGCAATGAGCAAAGCCCATACCGCACAGTCAGCTATAAAATGCCCCAAAATGACAATGTAAAACAATTCAAACGAGAAAACTAATGGCCTAATTTACGTACAAAAAATGAACGAAAAACAAATATGTAACACCTAAACAAACGACAACCACTGAATTACAGGCTCCTGACTTGGGACAGGCACATACATACAGAATGTGGCGGGGTTAAACATGTTAGCGGGATCCCAACCCTCAACCAAACCTGGGAAAGTGGTGTAACAGTACAACAGAAGAACGAACTATAAAAATCAGTTGAAAGAGGCTTACCGGGTAACTCATCAGATGGATAGAAATTCAAATACTACAATTACAAGTGGACGTGGCCGGGTACTTGTACATCCAAACAACAAAAAGACACTAAGTACAGATCTGAGAGTACTCGCAGTTACTGACAGCTAGTTCAAAGCCACTAACAACTAATAAAAAAATCATGCATCTAAGACTAAATTATCAATCCATACACATCCAACATCCAATGTATTTAGTGTAAAGACGTCATAAACAGTCAGAGAAAAACATGACCTTGTGCAATGCCAAGATACAGGTATCGACAGATTGTAGATCCATGAATGTGTATATGTATATAACAATAATATTTAGTTTGCTTTTAATTTACTGATAACAAAATCAATATCAGTACCAATAAAAACAATATTTAATGATCTAATTACAGTGTTGAATCGGTAACCTTTTAGAATAAGTTTATTTAAAGGATCAATAAGTTTACCAGGATCGTTTCTAAATTTCCGGGCACGGTAAACAATATTGCTGTAAAAATGAGGATGTGCAATCCCGTTTGAAATAAGTTTTCTACAGGTACAACCAAACTTCAAAATCAAATCTTTATATCTGTGGAAGAATTTAGTAAAGGTTTTAAGTAATTTGTGGTAACGAAATCCCTGGCTAAATAATTTACCAGTAATACATAGATTACGTTAGTTAAAATCAAAAACGTCACAACAGACACAGTCATAGCGAACGAGTTGTGAAATATAAACACTGTAAGATGGTGCCAAAGGAACATCGCCATCCAAAAAGGGAAAATTAACAATAGGGAACGAAAAATTGTCCCTTTTGTCGTAAATTTTAGTGTGGAGTTTCCCGTGTAAAACCGAAATATCTAAATCTAGTTAAATAAAGTTGACTTTAGTTGGATTCAGCTGTTATTTTTATGTCCCTTTTGGTCATATAGCTCTTCAAGTGTTTCTGTACTTAAACATCGTTTTTTTTCAATTTTTCTGCTATGAGGGTGTCTGATGAAGGTAAATGCAGAAAAGCACTTGGGACAAAACCAAATTTACAAAGTGTTATTTTTATCATTTTCATCATTCCATACACCAAATATAGTTGACCTATTGCTTATATAGTATTTGAGATACAGACTACCACTTAATTTTAACCTTGATCACTGATCCATGAAATGAGGTCAAGGTCAGAAGACCCCTTCCAAACCACAAAAATTTAAAATTGACAAATGAACGATATGAATGTCCTATGTCATGGTCATATGAACCCTATCAGACAGACATATACACCTTATAATTATTTCATACACCAAATATAGTTGACCTAATGCTTAAAGTACCCGATTAACTGACAAAACCATGAAAAATTAACATTGACCAATGAACCGTGTAAATGAAGTGAAGGTCAGAGGAAACCTGCCAGTCGAACATGTACACCTTACAATCATTCCATACACCAAATATAGAGGCCCTATTGCTTACAGTATCTGAGAAATAGACCAAACCACAAAAACTAAACATTGTCCATGAACTATGAAAATGAGGTCAAGGTCAGATGAAACTTGCCAGTCTGACATGTACACCTTACAATCATTCCATATGCCAAATATAGTGGCCTGATAGCTTATAGTATCTGAGAAATAGACCAAACCACAAAAACTTAACATTGTCAAATGAACCATGAAATTGAGGTCAAGGTCAGAAGAAACCTGCCAGTAAAACATGTAAACCTATCAATCATTCCATACACCAAATATAGTTGACCTATTGCTTATATAGTATTTGAGATACAGACTACCACTTAATTTTAACCTTGATCACTGATCCATGAAATGAGGTCAAGGTCAGAAGACCCCTTCCTGATGGACATTTAGACATTGCAATGAACCCATATACCAAATATAGTTATCCTATTACTCATAATAAGCGAACATTTTACTTGACAAAAATTTGTTTTCAAGCACGCCGCAGTCAATAAACCATGAAAATGAGGTCAAGGACAATGGACATATGACAGAGGGAAACTTCGTAACATAAGATATAGATCTGCATACATGGGTATGAAGCATCAAGGTCTTATATACCTTCTGAAATATAAAGCTTTATACAAATAGTTTACACAGTTGCTGCTGCTGCCAGAATCTTGCATTCTGTGACTTTTGTCACAGGCGAGACAAAAATGGTCTTTCACAGGTAATAGGTGCCTCATATTATACTTAACTCCTATATACATTGTATTTATGTGTCTCAAAAAATGTAATACATTTTGTATATCTATCATCATAAATTTATCTATCTATCTTCCACATCTTAAAGTGTAGATACGCCAGCATGATGAACAGCTAACGATTTCCCATTATTTAAAAAGCTAAGAATTATGTACCCTTTTTTCATTTCAATGCCAAAGCTATAGACATTTAATAGAAAATCTTGTATCTTATATTTAAGAATTCTGTTTTAAATTGATAAGGGCATGAAGGGTATTAGTTAATTTACTGCATGCAGTGCTAGCAATGATTTTTTTAAAACGAGTTTTTAAATAAAAAATATATTCAATTATACCTTCTAAGGTGTGTTCCACTAATGTTTTTTGGATTGTAAAGGTTGTTTAGAACTTTTTGAAAACAATAAACTGTAGCACAACATGGACAAACAAGGAATTATATATGTTTAAAATGTTATGATGAAAATCTGTTATAAAGTCTAAGGATTTTCTGTAACAATCTTGGCTTCATTTACGAAAAAATCACCATTTTCTATTAAATGCAATGAAACAATAAATATTATTGCACAGTCAGGGGACTTACTTAAATGAGTGATTTTCTAAATCACTGATTCAAGTAACATTATGTCCATAAAGGTTGGAAGTAAGAGTTGTCTTTCTTTAAAAATCACCTATTTAAGTAGTACAAATTAATCACTAGACTAAGTGATTTAATTTTATTGTAGCTTTAAATATAGAATACTAATGATCCAGGGACTAATTATGTTGCTAAAATTATCAGAACCAACATCTGTGTTGATAGGATGACCGGGTCATGTCAGGTGATGACCTTGTACTAAATCTAGGATAATGACATAAAAATCACTTGTTTAAGTATCATACCTCAATTTTCTTCCAAAAAATCACTTCTTTAAGTATCATTATTTTAATAACCCCCACTAATTTCAACACCCCCGAACAGTGAAATTTTGATCGCGAACAGTAGAATTTTATTACATAATCTATAAGATGAAACCTTGAATTTTACAGGAAAAATACTCCCACTGCTGGGAAAAATCTGTTAAAGAAAGTATCAGTTCATTATGTAAAGCCATTTTTATAGCATTTTTTCAACTAAAACAGAATTTGCAGCTAAATGATTGCATCAAAGGCATAAACCTTGCTGCTTAAAAGAAGCAAAAAGTTCATTTTTTTCAATTTTACTAATGAAAAGATATTATCTAACCCTATGTGTTTAAAATTTTAGTAAAACTACAAAATCACAATTTGTGACAAAACTTCGAATTTGCTACTTAAATAAGTGATTTAAAAATCACTTATTTCAATAAGTCCCCTGACTGTTGCAGTGAGCAATATTATATGTACAAAATGGCACATCTTTTTTATTCACTTTCTTTTCTGTTTTGTTATTATTGCACTTTTTTGTAATTTTGTAACGCAAAGGGCTATAGAACGGGTAATTATCCTTTAAATATAATGATGACCAATGATGATGGATTGCTGTTAAAGGTCATGAAGGTCCAGCGGCAAATTAAATCCATATTCAGGATGAGAAAATGTTAATGTAATATTGATGGATATGTACCCTGCTGTGTACTAGACCGACAGTCCGACACCCTACCCCGAAACAGTCATTACTCTGACTACGAGCAGACCAGTATTTGCTCATCAAATCAACAAACACCAATTTTAAGTCTTTGGTTTGACCAAACTGGTGTTCAAACCCACATCCTCCCACACTTGAGACTAACACAGACCACCAAGGTGTTTTTTTTCAAGATATGTACAGTTTTATAACATGTAAGTTGTTCTATATAAGTTGTGAGGTTGTGTCGACATACTGGTGACTTTAATTATAGCATGCCAAAATGTTCCACAGGCGGTGATCTGGATGTGTAACAGTGGTTTGATTCCGCCAGTGTACTTTATCTGGAGGAAGAAAATCCCCAGTGATTTTTATCCACCAACAAAAATTCACTAGGTTTTTCTATCCGGGTCCAGTGTAAAACATCCACCGGTCATTTTAAGGTTCTAAAAAGTTTTTTTTTAATCGAAACATGTATAAAATGTAGCTTTATATATTTTAGTGTATTTGAAACTTGCATAGTTGATTTATGTAAAAAGTGGAGAGTTTTCATCCAAGGAATGTTCACACTAGTGTTTTTAAACAAGGAATGATTAGACTAGTGATTTTGTACCGGAATGATTGCACTAGTTATTTTATACTGGGATTAATTACACAAGTGCTTTAGATCCATACATTGATGAAGTGATTAGTACTCATTTTGAACACACGATACCACAATAATGCTTATTAACGAATAAGATTTAAATAATTTTTCTATGCAAATCTATAAAATCATATGCTTTTAAATTGTCACTAATTGTAATATTTATATTTATTGGATTGCCGAAGTTTTTCTGTGTATTTGCTTTTCGGTTGACTTGGATATAAAATCATATCTTCTATCATGTCTATGTCAACATCAAAGGATGCTTCTATAATTGAAACTTTATGTAAGAACAAATCTGCTCTTTAAATTTGGTTTATATCAAGTTCAATGTCCTGGTCATTGATAAAGTATTTTGAGTTATAAAAACATCCTCCTCATTATCATCAATATTATTTACTAGATTGACTCAGTCTTTTCATTAATTAAACTGGTTCCTTGAAAATCATTTTAATTTTAACCCATTTATCTATGTAAACAATAAACCGGTCTAATATAAACAAAACAACGATATCAAGTTTGACGCTTTCACACTAATTACATGTATCCAATATTCTCTAGTGAAAAACAGTTACCCGGAATAAATACACGGCGGAATGAACATGATGAAAGTACGCTTACAGATGTACGTTAAAAGTCAGAATTCCTGATATGATGGTGGCAGATACAAAAATATGAGTATTTGTAACAGTCCAGTTTGGTTTTTATCTGTCTGGTCAAGAATGTGTATCTATATACAAATCCTTGGTCTGATGTTATGGAAATGGAACAGGTTTTAATATATTGACGATGTATTTAACTTTAAGACTACGATAACTAAAGGGTGAGAACTAGATTTATAGTTTACCTAAATTCTTTGTATACTTCATAAATGAATATTTGAAATTGTGTTTCTTTGTTTTTTACCAAACTAGAGAAACCAAAACCAAAACTGGATGGTGCATTGACCGGAAGTTTCTACTTTCACATTTGTCAAGGCCGTATGGGATAGGAAATCAAATGCTTCTAAAACAAAGATTTTCCCATTATGAAATAATGATTTTAAAGTTGATTATATAACAGTTTACTTTTAAACGAAATTTTTACAATTCAAATTTAAATTAACAATAAAAATATTAATATTTAGTTATTTGAAATTGATAAAATTTCACATGGGTTCCAAAGAAATTAAAATGGATGCCATGTAGCAGACAACATTTGCGTGTGAAATATTTGAATGGATTCTTCTAAAGGCACAGGACCCTTTTTGCAAAGGTATATTGCAGGAATGTAGCTCAATGAAAAACTGCGGAAATGAGGCTCTGAATTTACTAATAAATTTCACACGTTGTGTCAACAGGCACTTGTTTCACTATCAATATCATTGTATCAATGCCAATGGGAAGTATCTATCCAGATAAATATTATATGGATAGTCGACCTTCCCAACGATAGAAACAAGTGCCTGTGCCCTGAAAACAAACCAACCCAATTGCTTACAAATTTGCTTCTGTTGTCCTAACGTAATGGCGTGATTGTAAAGATTAAAGAAATGATGTTATTGTATTATTGTAACTTTCATTTTAGGATAATGCAAAGACAAAACAGCTCATCACCAAGACCATCAAGTTGTAGTAGTGGTGACAGTTTTAGAGGTCCAAAACTTAAACAAGAAATATGTATAGGAGAAGAAGTCAAGATTTCTGTTCATTTGGCAGTTGAAAGGTTCAAGCTAAATGATACACAAAAAGGTATGCGGACATTGTCGTATGGAAAGATTTTACCTAATTGATACACAAAGCGGTATTGAAAGGTTCAAGCTAAACATGCTAAATGATACACAAAAGTTATTGAAAGGTTCAAATTGAATGATACACAGAAATACACAAAGAGGTATTGAAAAATTCAAACTAAACGATACACAAAATGGTATTGAAAAGTTCAAACTGATTGATCATGTTGATACACAAAATGGTATTGAAAAATTCAAACTTAATGACACACAGAAAGGTATTGGATGATTCAAGCTAAATGATGCACAAAAAAAGCGTTTAAAGGTTCAAGCTAAATGATACACAATAAAGTATAAAAGGTTCAAACTAAATTATTCACAAAAAAAATAACATATAATAAAACAGGATACTTGTTAGGTGTAGCCGCTAGGCCATCTATCCTGCAATGAGTGAAAAGTGTGCTCTTTGAAGAATATTACCTAAAGCTTACTTGCGATAGGTAAAAGCAGTATGGAAAATCTAAGCTGCTGTTTGTTAAAGGTGAATCCTTTTTTTGTATGCTTGTCCATATCAGAAATTTCCACTTGTTTCCATGACTCTTCCTTGTCCCCCTTAATTCTACGATACTATATAGTGTACCCCCTAATTCTATGATTTTCAGTGTTCCCCCTGATACTATGATACTTAGTGTTTCCCCCGATACTATAATACAGTTAACTCTCGTTGTCTCGAACTCGGTTGACTCGAAATAGGATGAGTCGAAATTTCGGTTGAGTCGAACTAAATTTACCATCCCAAGGTTAACAAAAGCATTCGAAATTCATTAATTATCTCGAACTTATACACATAGGTCAGTGCTCCAGCTAGAAATCAAAAGGGGCAGGGTGCCAGTGGAGGGCAGGGCACTTTTTTATGAAAGGAAAAGGCACTGCTCATTTCTTTTGTCTACGTTTCTGTGTGTATCACGAGTTCACATTCTTTTTTTTACTGTATATGTTTTTAACAAAGATGCATAAGTTGTTGTTTTGATTATTTATTCTATAAAATTTGCATTAGAAAATGTAATTCATACGACATGTTCATAAAACATGTCAATACACATTCATACATCACATCACTATAAACTTATAGAGGCAAATTAACTTACTATTCTCTCTCCCCCCCCCCCCCCCCCTTTTCCAAAAAAACCCAGTATAAACTCAACATCTCATAGTTTAGCATACATGTGACAGAGTTGTCTTATTTCAAAATTTACAGTTAGAGTTTGGCCCTCAAAACTTTTTTTCATTGTTTGTGTTAAGGAATTATTTAGTAAAGCTTCATCAAGTTGATGTCATGATAGTTTAACTTCACACTACCCATTGTTTTAGGATTGCAGCATATCATCATTATAACAATTGAACTGATAAATTTCGTACTTGACAATGTATAGAACATGGATTGCTAAAAGTATGATTATCAAAAATAAATTGCAATATATTTTTTTTGGTATGTTCAAAGACAGTTAATATCCTTAAGGTAACATTCTTATATAATTTTGTATTCAATTGGTAATTTATTCCTATTTTTATTACTAGATAATATTTTAGGAGCACAAATTTGTAATAAGCTAAAACAGGGGAAGTAACTCCAAAATTAATTACTAATACGTTAACTGTTTGCTTGTCGCTCACAAGTTGAGATGGACGGCGTTTCTGTGAAGGCATAGTTGTATTTTGATGGCTTAAATTCTATTCTAAAGTCATGAAAGTCTTCATTTATACACTCTTCTTTTAGATCGAAATTGCCGACCCAAGCTAAAAACACTCGCTGACACATTCATCAAATTTATGACAAAAAGGTACATTGTCTTAATTAAATTACCTAGTTATTAACACCTTTTAAGTCTTATCCACTGTAATTGATTGTAATGACATGATTAACCTGGGGGCAATCACCTGGTGTCATATATGTAATTTAACTTTGTGATAAGAAATCGATGAAACAAAAGGCAATTTTACCAAAACGGCACAAGGGTTTTTGGGAAAAAGGCGTCAGGGCAGAAGGGCGCGGATGAAGGCAGCCAGGGCGCGGCTGAGGGCACCCAGGGCGCGGCGCCCTTCTATTTTGGGCTAACGAGACCACTGTATGTCAAAACATGACCTTCGGGATTTAAATGGATTGATGAGTTAATCTGACAATACACGTGTTATATAATTTCCGGTCACTGACCACTGTATTGATTTATGACATGCTATTTCCACGAGTGTTTACCTAAGATTATCTTTTATCACCTTGATAAATAATTAGTGATACATTGTTAAAGTTAAATTATTTTAAATGTTTACAAAAACAATTAATCGTGATTGACACTGATGAGCTTGTATTTGTATAAAGTGGGGATAAAGACTTCCGTTGGTGATCACATAAAAACTACTCAATCAGCTTCTTTAATCTTTTTGTATTTTCTTTTGAATGGAAAGATTGAGATAAAAGAAAATGAAAAGAAATCTAAATTTTCTTAAATCTCTTGTATCCAAGAATAAACAACTTTGTCAACTTTAGATGACTTAAATAACGCTAAGATCGATTGGAAATTACTCTCTCGGATAAAAGCAATAGGGAAAATTGTAACTGTTCAAAGAAATAATTAAATAAGTGAAAACAATGTTATTATAATAATGAAAGACCATGACATGCGAATACATCGATCTGAGACCAGAGTATCGATCCCTTTCCCATATTCATCATGATTTATTTTAGCCTTACCGAGCTAAGCAAGAGTTGTGTCCCATGGTCTGTCAAACTTCCAGCTTTGGTTTGAGTCGAACTACGTGTATCTCGAAATATTATTCTGGTCTGGCTGAATTCAAGATAACGAGAGTCTACTGTACTTCAGTGTTCCCACTGATACTTTGATACTTCAGTATTCCCCCTGATACTATAATACTTCAGTGTCCTCCCTGATACTATGATACGTCAGTGTTACCCCTAATTCTATAATACTTCAGTGTTCCCCCTGATACAATGGTACTTCAGTGTTCCCCCCTGATACTATAATACTTCAGTGTGCCCCCTGATACTATGATACACCAGTATTACCTCTAATTCTATGATACTTCAGTGTTCCCCCTGATACTATGACACTTCAGTGTTCCCTGGGACTCGCCCCCCCCCCCCCCCCCCCCCCGATTCTGTGATACTTCATTGTTCCCTGGGACTCCCCCCCTGATACTATAATACTTTAGTGTTTCCCCCTGATACTATGATACTTCAGTGTCCCCCCTGATACTATGATACTTCTTCAGTGTTCCCCCTGATACTATAATACTTAGTATTTCCCCCTGATACTATGATACTTCAGTGTCCTCCCTGATACTATGCTAATCAGTGTTACCCTTAATTCTATGATACTTCAGCATTCCCCTTGATACTATGATACTTCTGTGTTCCCTGTGATACTACATGTATCTGGAATTATTTTCTTAATGAATTGTGTAATGGATGTGATGCTTTAATTTCTAGAAACAAAATTATAATTCAAAATTTCCTTTTAACCAGAATGCTTTATGAAATACTGTACTTCAAGACAAAAGCTGCGTGTCAACTGTGTTTTTAGAAAGATGTCACATAAATGAATTTTATCAAAATAAAATATTAATAGAGACATTCTAAATACTAGTTCATGTAGCTGTATAAATATTAATATTTTCTTTGTAGTACTGGAATTTCCATCTTCATTAACAGCCACAGAAAGAGCATACATTCATAGGCTGTGTCAGGGAATGGGATTTCATACAAAAAGTAGTGGGTAAGTCATTTGTTTTTTTGTTGGACACATTTAGATACTTGTATGAATAAAAGAATATGTGGTTTATACATCAATGGGGCAACAACCCATCAAAACAGATAACCGAAATAAAAACATACAGTCATTAACAATAGACAGATATTTATACAATATGTCAATCTGCAGTGAATCAATAAGTCACAGGACATTGCCATCCTTTCTCTCAAAATGTTTTGAAGAAATTTGAAAATTTTATTTCACATCTTAAAGAATATCCTGTAGAAATTTTTATAAGGATGAAAATTGATCTGAAGCTTCTGATGTCTATCTAAATTACTGCCCAGGGTTTCCGCTGGCTGTCGCCATTTTCGCATATTGCGAAAAAAATAATATTTGTGGCGATTAAAATTCATTATTGGCGAAAGAAATATAACAATTCGATTTCATCCATCTTGTTTACTTTTTCGGGTTTCTCGGACTTTACCTGATTAGACAATATTCGGAATTCACCTTGAACTCGTTACGACTTTGACAGAAAATCAATAATCAGCTGAGTGCATTTTATAGCCGTAGGCAACAATGGACTAATTAATAAAGGTGTTGATTGTTTTATTTTACGAAATGATGTGGTTAAATGGCGTCACATGTCACCTAAAGGATTTATTTACAACTTCACAACGCACATGTTTGAAGCATAGTTTTACGTCTCCTCGTTTTCTTTTTAACGATGGTCCGGAAAAGAAAACTGTTGTTATGATGAAAACTGTTCAAAAGCAAGAAAAATCTCTGACTTTATAAACTTTTTCCTCTAACTTTGATAGAAATATTTGATTTGAAGTGGGTACCAGTACTTTACAACCGTTTTAGCAACAGACGTGTTTAGCATAGTTTTACGTCTCCACTTTTTCTTTTTACGATGGTCCGGAAAAGAAAACATTTGCTACGAAGAAACAAATTCAATTGTAAGAAAAATCTCTGACTTTAGTCTTTATCCTTCAACTAGACGGGAAAATATATTTCCGATAAACTTATAGAAGATAAATCTCGTGTTCCCAGAAGTCAAAAATTTTACAGTATCTTTTGAAAAGTAAATCTTTAGTGTTTATTCATTACAATGTAGAATAATCATAGACAAGAATGGGGCAAACTGATTTTTTTTTTGTTAGAAAGAAGGAAAATTTTAAAGAAAAATATGTTTATGTTAGTTGTTAGTTGGCGAAAAAAATTTGAAAGTGGCGAAAAATATTGTGTTTTGGTCGAAAGAGGTGGCAAAAAAGAAAATTGACCCAGGGGAAACCCTGTTACTGCCACTTTTATATTGCCTGAGACACAAAAAACAATTTCTTTATTCTTTTTTAGGGTATTTTAACATAATGAAAAGCTCTATTTCATGGTTACATTGATACTTCTTAGATTTGAGTAGTAAAAATTACAAAAACACACTTGAAAATAAGAAGTTTTCCTTCTAGACCTTTCTTCTAAGGCAACCCTATAATTCTTTTTATTTGGTAGTTTTTAAATGAGTAACTTTAGTTTTTTACTTTTTTTTTTTTAATTATCAATTTAAAGGTTCAATTTAACTTCATAGTTTTTTAACTGATTTTTTTTTCACAAAGTTTAGGCCCTTATCTTAGAAAATTAGCATAGTATGTACAATTCCACTTTTACTCAAATAAATACAACAAATCTATTTTGCTATCCTGAAATTATTGACATATCTTAAAATCTAATGTGTTGTCAAATGAAGCTGATCAATCCTTTCTTTAAGAGTATTAATATGTGTTACCACTTTCTTATTATAGGAAGAGGTCGAGCAGATACCTTACTGTATATAAGAAGGAAGGGAGTATGGCCACTCAGTCAGCAGCTAGTCTTCACATGGTCAGAAATTCAAGACAACAAATACATAGCCTTCTTCAGAGATTTCCTCTCACTAGTAAAGAAAGACAAGACTTGTTACCAAAAACTGAAAGAATTTCTGTCAGTGAAGGTCAGAAATTCATAAGATATATATCTTAGTCTTGTTTTTACCAGTCTTGATTTTGGATAGCATTACATGTAGAATTATGTATCAAAACTGTTTGTCATGAAATATTGGCATGGCCTGAGTAAACTTAATCAAACCTGTTAGGCCTTCTTAAACTACACCCAAAATGAGAGACATTGACCCAAACAGTGACTAGAGATAAAGGGAATATCAAAGAAAACTGTCTGCAATTCTATATTTTATTAAACACAAATTCATAATCAAAAAATTAAATTTAGCTTTTCTCCAAAACCTACAAAAACATGGATAAACCTGTCAAAAGTCTTGTTATTTTCATGTAGTGCAACTGTATTTCAAGAAAAAACTCTTATAAGTCAATCTGCAATATGAGACCAAGCCACCAACTTTTTGAGAGAAAAAATGAGTAACATTCTGAAATTTACCCTATGTTGCTATGTGTAACAACTTATTTAGTTATGTAAGTTGTGATTGATTACAGTAAAATGAGAAAAAAAAAATTTAACTTATATTTGTCAATAATAATGCACACTAGGAAAACAGTTTATGATGGAATTTCATTTATTTCAATAGTCATGAATTTCAATAAAAAGTGAAAACAGAAAAATTGATGACCAATACTTGTCAATAACCATTAAACTGGTTTTGGTAAATAATTACATTGTGGACATTAATAGCCACACAGGTATATGACATCTTTTTCTTTGTAGTTATAATAAGTAAAATATAAAGTGAAGAAGAAAAATGATATTGATTTTTCAGTAACAAAGGAACTGAACAAGACAACAATAGGTAAATTAAATAATGGTGTAGCTCAAATACCACCAGAGCGTGGCAATTCTGATCTGGATACCTTCAGAGAAACTCTACCAGTATATAGATTTAAAGCAGAAATCATGGAGGCTATCAACAGTAACCAGGCCATCTTAGTATCTGGTGAAACTGGTTCTGGTAAAACTACACAGGTAACTGTTTGAAGGTCCCAAATATGTATTGAAACTTTCAGAAAGCTTTAAGATAATCTTATCTGTGGGTAATATATTTTCTGATTTTAAGTGACCACAAAGATGTCAATTTAGAATTCAAGCTGTGTTTCAAATGCACATTGACGGATTTTTGGATTAATTGTATGTTTTTTTTAAAGCAAAGTCTTGACTATTACAATTATCAGTTACATTCATGGAATAAAAGAGATTGGATCAAGAAACTTTTTTAAAGATTTGAATCTGTGGTACTAATTTTGATTTTGCCTTTGAATAAATGGAGATGTGGGGTATATGTCAATAAAACAGCAACCCAACTACAAAAGTAACCAAAAGACAACAATAGACAGGTGCCAATACAATATGTCAAGCTTTAAATTGTACAGAGTCTATAAAAGTTGTAAATAATTTAATTTCACATTTGTTTCAGGTTCCTCAGATGATTTTAGACTATTGCCATGAGCAAAAAAAACTATGCAGAATATTCTGCACACAACCCAGAAGAATAGCTGCTCTTAGTATTGCTGAAAGAGTTTCTGCTGAAAGGGGAGACAAAATTGGACAAACTGTAGGATATCAGATCAGATTGGAAAGCAAGTTAGTGTCAAATATATTGTTTTTGTTTGGCATACTCTTGTATTCTCTGGTAAAAATCACTAAAATGTTATTGACCAAAGTCATAAAATGTCCTTTTATTTAGTCAGAAGATTTTCCTTTTATATACAATAGAATTACGCTGATAGATTTAGTTTTAGTAATTTAATTTTGTTTAAATATTTATATATAGGTGAAATTACTGTCAAAAAAGTGAAAACAGGATCTTCTGCAGCAAGCAAATCCTCAAAAAGCAGGATAGAAAATAGCAGAAATATACCTGTTCTTTATTGGGAAGATTTTGTGAAATTTGATTTTGTCATTTTAATGTAGTATACTTAGATAAGCTATGTTTATTTCTTTCAGAGTATCACCCAAGACACTACTGACATTTTGTACTAATGGTGTATTGTTGAGAACTCTGATGGGATCCACAGAATCTATGTCAGAGGTTACACACATTATTTTGGTAAGTTTATTTTGATCAGAATCAATGTCAGATTTTACACACATTATTGTGTGAAATTTATTTGATGTCAGTTAAAGGCTATTCCAGGAAAAAATCATACCTACCAATTTTTCAAAATCTCCAGGGGGGGGGGGGGGGGGGGGGGGGGATTTTAAGCTCAAGAGGACCTAATGCTCTTATATTGTCATAAGTGTTTTTAATCCGCTACTTTATTGTTTGAATGAGTATGTATGTGCTTTACTACCCCTTTAACTCATTTGAATGCCTTTTTTGTGATGTTCAGTTTATATAATAAAGAATTTCAAAAAACAGGTCAACACCTCTCATGGGGATATCCCCCATAAATCAGGATAGTTTGCAGGTCTGAAAAATATATGGGGTTGGATGGCACTTGAATTATTTTTGTATGGGTGGGGGCAGGTCACGAAGTTCAAATTGTGTGGTTATGTATGCAAAGTAAAATCCCATAAAAAAGTGCCTTCCAACCCCTATATCTGTACCTACATCACCTTTATCACTAGTCTTCACTGCAAACTATATCACTGATAACTTGTCTATAAATCATAGCATCTAATTATTCAGTATTCAAAGTGATCTGTTATTCTTTATACCAATAGCAATAGCAGAAAATACATTATTAACATTTAGATTCCACTGTTTAAAATGTTAAATCAATTAATAGTTGAAAATGTAAAACATATTTAAGATATAATTAAACGAATAGAAAATACAGAATGTTTTTAAAAACTGTATTATAATATACAGTCATCGGGCTCAACCACAGGCCTACCAGGCCAGGCTTGTAAAAATGCTGTCGGGCTTGTAAAAATCATCTCTACATGCAGGCCAATAGAATCTAACTAAAATTTTCGTAAAATTCAGCTTTGGGTCTGTAAGGGCTGTGCCATTAAAACATACATGGTACCCAGGGAAGGCTCTTTGAAAACGGAGTGACCACCCATAGAAGCGACTTTAGAGTCCTGCATAATTTTAAACCCGTTAAACACAATATTTCGCACCCACCAATAGTGGCAAATTGAAGTTGCCTTCCCTGGGTCCCATATATGTTTTTATGGAACAGCCCTAATGTTTATCGTGAAGACTGAATATATATCTTAGAATCTTTTGCATGTTGCTTCTACTTTCAGGATGAGATACATGAACGAGACAGATTCAGTGACTTTCTGTTGATAGCTGTCAGAGATTTACTTGAGAAATATCCTGGTCTTAAAGTTGTTTTGATGAGTGCAGCTTTAAACATTGAACTGTTTGTTAAATATATGAATGGTTGTCCTGTTGTGTCGGGTGAGACTTATATATAACATATAATTTGGAAGTTGTATTATAGATCAAATGCTAGAATTTTAAAGAATCAAATAATTGTGTTACAATTTCACTTATGAAATGTAAAAAGGCAGACCTGTTTTTATTCCAAAGAAAAATTGTTTAATTTTCTATATCTTTAATAGTATGTAAACAACATGATTAAGTTCTCCATCACATTATAAATGTACTGGAATTTAGGAGTTATCTCCCATGATTTTTTTTATACCTTTCTGAAAAGAATTGTTGGATATACATAGCAAAATATGATATTAGAAAGGCAGGCAACATAACAAACAAAACAAAAAGCAATGTATCTGTAAAACATGTTAATTGAGACTTTTCTTCTTTCAGTTCCAGGAAGTTTGTTTGAAGTAAAGGAATACTATTTAGAAGATGTGTTAAAATGGTAAGATTTTTGGTTAGTTGTCAAGTAATATATGCATATTGAATTAAAAAAAATGAAAAAGAAAAAGAGAATTTCTTAATTTCATTTCCCCCTCCTCTGCCTAATGAAGAGTCTATTTTTCATTGTTTAGTCAGCTGCATACTCAGCTTAACCCTTTCAACACTATACACAGCATATGCCGCGATGACATACACCGTCCGCCACTGCTGTTCGCGGCGATGACGATTGATTTTTCATCCAGACTCATAAACCATTCGGTTTTCATTCGGCTCCTCTCTAATTTTTCCTCGTATAAGTCGAGGATATACAAGGTCCCGTTTGCGCTTGAAATCGCGAGAATTTTAATGGTAAAATCATGCAGTAGAAGGAAAATAGAAGGAAAATAAAAACAAATATTTTGACAAATGCAAATGGCGGAAATCGAAAAGGACACTGTAAATATGGAATTATTTCAGTATTTCTATAGTGAAACTGACAACGAGGAATAGTTAAAAGGTTCACCGTTATCTCAATAAATTTATTACATTCAATTCGTGTGGGAAATATAATTTGATAGATCTTTACGAGACGTAGAAAAAGGGGGAAAACAGAGGTTGACTGAAAATTTTATTTGAGGAAGGAGCTACTTATTTGCACCACGTTTACGTTATACGTTGTGTATGGTGCAATACTCTACGGAATCGAGCAACTGGTGTCTTCTTTATGATATGGCAGATAGAACAACAAAATAAATGAAGATTAAAAGTTGTTTTTATTAAAAATTTAACACAAATACAATAATTTACACCTTTTACCTGTTAATTACCTGAAAATGTAAGTAGCCTGATGAAAATTTTACTAAAATAATTGCATAACATTACAGTTCATGCTCTCCTGAGCATTTTTCATGCACTAACTTTGCCAGTATCTCTTATAATAAAAATGATACAGCAGTCAGAAAAGGAATATACTGTTCTAATGAATGAACCCAAAAAAAAATGCAGCAGCAGCAGCCATTTTTCTTTTTTTTTTTGTGTAGTGTTGAAAGGGTTAACTAGAGATTTTATGTTTTTGAAACTTCCAATGATTAGTTGCATTATGGTTTTCATTATATTTGTTTAAATCTGAATGATTTTAGGTTTTCCATAGCAAAACATATGTATATAAATGGGGAAATGTATGAGTTCTTAAGCCTCACTTATAGTTTTTCTCATCAAAATTCGCTCATTTGTAACATGAAAGAATAGAGAATGGAAATGGGGAATGTGTCAAATAGACAACAACCCGACCAAAAAGCAGACACCATCCCGATGCCACCAATGGGTCTTCAATGCAGGGAGAAAATGCTGCAAAAGCTTGATCTCTTTAGATTTCTTTATAGACTCCAGTTGATAATCAGCTTATGTTAATTATGTAAACTACCAATGTTTAATTATGTAACATGTAGGCAATTTGAAATGTCTTTTATTTAAGGCTAATTTAGTAACTACTTTTTTAAGCAATAAATAAACTGACTATTAGGTTACTTGCCAAATACTAAAATTGAATTTAAGGACTGGTTACACAAATAAAGTGATGAATAAATTGAAGAAAGAAAAAGATCAAGTTGAAAAACAGAATGAAGAATTAAAACAGTGGTGTTCACAGATCAGTGCTGATGAGGGAGAACTGGATGATGATAATGATGACAATGTTATACACAGTAACACTGACAACATTACAGAGGTAAGAATTAAAACAGTGGTGTTCCCAGATCTGTGCTGATGAGGGAGAACTGGATGATGATAATGTTATACACAGTAATACTGACAACATTACAGAGGTAAGAATTAAAACAGTGGTGTTCCCAGATCTGTGCTGATGAGGGAGAACTGGATGATGACAATGTTATACACAGTAACACTGACAACATTACAGAGGTAAGAATTAAAACAGTGGTGTTCACAGATCAGTGCTGATGAGGGAGATCTGGATGATGACAATGATGACAATGTTATTCACAGTAATAATGACAATATTACAGAGGTAAGAACTAAAACAGTGGTGTACACAGATCAGTGCTGATGAGGGAGAACTGGATGATAATAATAATGATAATGTTATGCACAGTAATACTGACAACATTACAGAGGTAATAACTAGTGTAAAGTGTCATAGTAAGTCTTCAGTAGATTGATAGCTGTAGAAATACAAAGTATTTACTATGATTTACTTTAGCCGCAAGGCAAACGGACATGGGCAAAATGTGTAGAAATGTGTTTTTGTCGAGCCTGCGACTTTTGAGCTCGACATAGGGATAGTGATCCGGCGGCCGCGTTTGCTAACTTCTTAAAAGCTTTATATTTTAGAAGGTGGAAGATCTGGATGCTTCATACTTTGTATATGGATGCCTCATGTTACGAATTTCCGTCAGTCACATGTCCAATGTTCTTGACCTCATTTTCATGGTTCAGTGACTACTTGAAAAAAAAGTTAAGATTTTTTGTAATGTTAAATTCTCTCTTATTATAAGTAATAGGATAACTATATTTGGTATGTGCGTACCTTGCAAGGTCCTCATGCCCGTCAGACAGTTTTCACTTGACCTCGACCTCATTTCACGGATCAGTGAACAAGGTTAAGTTTTGGTGGTCAAGTCCATATCTCAGATACTATAAGCAATAGGTCTAGTATTTTTCGGTATATGGAAGGACTGTAAGATGTAAATGTCTAACTGGCAGGTGTCATCTGACCTTGACCTCATTTTCATGGTTCAGTGGTTATAGTTAAGTTTTTGTGTTTTGGTCTGTTTTTCTTATACTGTATGCAATAGGTCTACTATATTTGGTGTATGGAATGATTGTAAGGTGTACATGTCTAGCTGGCAGGTGTCATCTGACCTTGACCTCATTTTCATGGTTCAGTGGTCAAAGTTAAGTTTTTGAGTTTTGGTCTTTTTTTTCTAATACTATATGCAATTGTTCAACTATATTTGGTGTATGGAAATATTTTATGATCTATATGTCAGTCACACAGGTTTTGTTTGACCTTGACCTCATTTTCACGGTTCATTTCTCAGTGTTACCTTTTTGTGTTTTGGTCTGTTTTTCTTAAACTATAAGCAATAGGTCAACTATATTTGTTGTATGGAAGAATTGTTAGCTGTACATGCCTGCCTAGCATGGTTCATCTGACCTTGACCTCATTTTCATGGTTCATTGGTCAATGTTTAGTTTACTTGGTTAATGTTAAGTTTATGTGACAGTTGTAATAAAGCTTTATATTTAGGACTATCAACATAATATCAATGATTAGTAAAGAAGGCGAGACATTTCAGCATGTGCACTCTTATTTCATTGTTTTCTATACTCCTACAGTTGGGGCTTTCTTAAGCTTATAACTGTCAGGCTGTCCATTTATCCATCAAATATTTTTGTCATACCTTTCTCAGGTACAACTGAACTGAAACACCTCATAGTAGGTTTAGCAGCTATAAAGTGATGAGTTGTAATGTATGAGCACTTTTAGGATCTGTCAGACACCTACTTCCTGTTTTCCGATATTTTTGATTTTTCAACATGTTGAAAGAACTAAATATTTTTGTCACACATTTCTCTAATACTACTGGACAGAATGAGTTAAAATTTAGTCAGCATCTCAGCAGTGATTATTTATAAAGAGTATAGCAGGACAAGGTGTACATTTTTGTTTTCAGTGAAGCTCTTCCAAAACATTTAACTGATGTCTAATTTGTTTATTTAATTATTTACCAACAGCTATGCTTTATTTTATTACAAAAGAAATCATTTTTTTCTGTATTACAGTTAGGTGAAGAAAAGGAGAACCTAGAACCTGGAGTAATAAAAGAATTGGACCAGTTGCTGAGTGAAGCCTGGTTAACAGGAAAAGAAGAAGTCTTCTCACAAATATTTCATTTAATTCTCAGTGAAAATGTCAGTGGTAAGTAAGATATAAGGTAAATTATTAAAAAGTTGAAAAAATTATTAGATTTTCCTCTGCATCAAAGAGCATGGTTAACAGTCATATATCAAGAACTACTCGCCTACACCCATCAAACTGTAGATGAATCTAAAGTAGTCTCATTATTTCCTATATGGAAAAGTTTATTTGGCCTACGTTCATGGTTTGTTGACTTTCATTAAGGTTAAGGTTGAAGTAAACGTTGGTTTAGTTTTACATCTGACTTCATTTCTCACTTTTTATGTTAATCAAAGTTTAACCCCAAGTTCATAGATCAGCCAAACTGCAAAATTTAAATCTTGTAAAAGTGTATGGATTTATTCTTGACTTCAAATATTTTGTTTCATTTCATTTGGTGAAGTCATATGTCCAACTTCTTATTTCAGTCACTACACATTATATGATTAATTAAACATATAATGCAAAATGAGGCAATCTTTGTTTTCGTAGATAACCTTAGCTTTAAATACATGTATGATATTGAAGCAGTTTATGCATCCTTCTTAATTCTTCACCATCACTACAATACCAGTATCACACCACTGGATAATCTTTGGTTGTGGTTTTACTGTCAGAGAAACAATTGTAACATTGTTATATGTGTTTTCAGTTGATTACCAACACAGCAATACCACTATAACACCACTGATGATAGCTGCTGGTCGGGGCTTTACATCTGTTGTGGAACAGTTGCTGAATTTGGGAGCTAATATCAATGTGAAAGCTTCCAATGATTGGACTGCCCTTTATTTAGCACAGAAGTTTAAGCATGAAGACATATGTGAATTGCTAGAGGCAAATATGTGAGTATATGGCTATTTCATATTGTCTAATATTGATTATTATATAATTTATTATAAACATATATTATTTCACCAAACATGCATACATAGAATATGTACATCATATGAATTAACTTACATGATTTGGCAACATGCTGTGAAAATCTTTTGCCAAACCATCACCAATAGTGATATCATAGAAAATGAAAATATGTACTTTTCTAAAAATGTTATAGTGACCTATTTCTACTTTTAGGGATGTTCCAGTCATGGGTCCAGGGGGAGATAACAATTTAGATTCTAAAGTCATGTCACCAGAGGACCAAGATTTACTGAGTAGATATCATCACAGTTTTGATGATGAATTAGTGGATGCTGATCTAATACTTGCTCTACTCATAAAAATACTATGTACAAGTCAAACAGGTAAAATTAATAATACATACAAGCCAAATAGTTAAAAATATTATGTATAAGTCATACATGTAAAACTAATATGTACAAGTTAAACCTGTAAAACTAATGTGTACAAGTCAAACATCTGAAATATGTATGATATGTACAAGTCATCAGATAAAGCTTCAGCAAAAACAACAATCAATCATTACAAGTCAAACAGGTAAAAATACTGTGTACAAGTCAAATAGGTAAAATTATTGTTCAGGTCAAATACTAAGGTAAAAATACTGTACAAGTCAAAAAGGATGTTAAGCAACAACAATCAATCAATCAATCTCATTACAAGTCAAAAAGGTAAAAAAGCTATGTACAAGTCAAACATATGCCCACCATGCAAAGAAACAGTGTGTTGCTTAATATAAATCATAGCCTTTTGGGATCAAATCATGTTTTATATCTTATATCTTAAAAACTATAACAGCTAGGGAATAAAAACCTCATAATATCTAGCACATCCTGATTTACCATTATTCCGATTGGTCTGAAATCTTCAATCTACTCTTTATATGAGTGCTTACCCTAAATTCACTAGATGTATTTGAAGTTTATCTTGAAAAGTATAATAGATTAAAGAGAAAATCTTGGTTTTTAAATTGTACACTACAAAATGCATTTTTTCCGGTTTCATGGTGAACAGGTTGGATTATTAGAGATGGGAGAGAATGAGTTTTCTAATTCGGATTAAATTTAGAGCACATTTAAATTCAACTTATCAAATAACAGATTTTGACAACCATATGATGTACTATGTACATATTATTACCTCAACAGTCCATAACAATCAGGATCATAATGGCTAATTTCTTCATCAAAGTTAAAATTATGAAACATAATTTTAGCTGCATACATAACAATTGACCTTATGCAAGTGCATGAATACATGTATATGTATATGACTTTGATTTATTTTAGAACATTCAAATACGAAATAAAAGATGAATTTTGGTTTGTCCTCTAGGGTTCTTATAGCAACTCAATTTTCAAACATATTCAGACTTTGCATAGAGATTTTTCAACCCGAAATAGGTTAACCAATGTATTGATATCCATTTGCATAGGGTCGATTTCTATCAGACGCAGCTCATTTGTTGTTACACTTCAAAAAATTTGGAATATGAGTCATGTGAGGGATGTTTGTTGTTTTTTACCCGTTTCAAAAAATGTTTCTAGTTGTTATCACAAACAAAGGCAAGGAGAAATTAAAGAACCAGAGTTTACACTGTACCAAATATGGTTCAAATGTAAACATTCTTCAAACTTTCTATTAGTCAAATGATGTTGAACAATATCCTGAACCAAAATACCAATATTGTATTAAGACATCCTTTTTCTTTATGTATACACCTGGAGGTATTAAGAAAGTTGTACTATCATTAAGATAATATAAGGTGTTCTGTTATTCTATTATATACTTAAGTTATTATTGTAATGTTTATTTTGTTTTATAAAGGTGCTGTATTGATATTTTTGCCTGGCTATGATGATATTGTGAAAATACGAGACTTGATTTATGAAGACAGATTCTTTGAAAATTATAAGTGAGTAATTGTTATTTGTTAATTTATAAATGGACAACAATTTTGAATATAAGTAGAGACTGCCTGATGATCAGTTGTCAATATTCTTGCACCTTCTTCACCATTAATTTGAAATATTACATTTAACATCCAGAGACATGACCTGTCATTGGTCAAAATATAACGATTAACTTGTTTTCAAGGGACTTAAAAAAGTTTCTCTGGCTTTTGTTTTACCTACTGTTACATGGTAAACATTACTTGTGGTAATAAAAAATCTCTGTAAGACTCGTAGGGTTTGTGCCATACTATTTTTGGGAATGCCAAAAATAACAAATATATAAAAGATAAGCATTGTTTACTTTTTACACATTATGACTTGGATGGAGAGTTGTCTCATTGGCACTCATACCACATCATCTTATTTCTATGTATGATACTAAGTGTTTTGCTGCTTAAAATTGCATGAGTTAACATGAACGTTAAATGATATAATTATTTATAGGTATGTGATGTATGTTTTACACTCCGCAATGCAATCTACAGACCAGAAGAAAGTTTTTAATTCACCACCAGCTGGTGTAAGGAAAATTGTAAGTCACTAACTAATACTTAAACAAACGATAGAATTGAAAATATTTCATCAGTAGCAATAGTCACATTTTTCAGAAATTATAACTTTTACTTTCCTCTGAAATTTTGAATTCCTAATTGCTTTCATATTTGTTGTATCTATCACTGCACCCAGTAGGAAACACCATCCACCAAGTGTAGTTATATATTTCAAATTTAGGTATTGAGATTGGAAAAAAAGATTTTAAATGTGGCTCAATGTGATATCTATTTTAATCTGATGGCAGTTATGAGGTGAACTATTTGTGTAAAGATTATTATTTTTAGAAAGATGAACAGTTTAGTATACAGATACCGTCAGTCTAAAGTTTTCATCTGGCATTTATTGATCATCCTTGACTGATTTTATTCAGTTTCAACAACTTAATAAAATCAATTTTAAGTTTTCATAAGACTAACATAAATAACAAACATGGTATGTTTTTCTCAGATTTTAGCTACCAACATAGCAGAAACCAGCATAACTATCAATGATGTAGTATTTGTTATTGATTCAGGAAAAGTCAAAGAGGTAACTAATTTCTCAATTCTTGTTTAGAACCTAGAATAATTATTTATTTGATAAGATTGATTAATTTTATTTAGCAGTTAACTCTTTTACCGTAATCACATGCATCAGTTTGATTAATTGTCTCTGGTGAGTCTTTGGTAGACTAAACTTGCGTCTGGTGTATAAAATTATAAGCCTGGTAACTTTGTGTAGTTTTTTCTTTAGACCATATAACACTAATAGATGCAAATTCAGATTGTGATACAACTTGTAAGATAATTTAGAACAAGTCTTATTTGTTTAATCTTAGCAAAATGGTCTATCAAAGTGTAAACCAAGGAAAACATATCTAACAGATGAATCACCTTAAAATTTTTGTAGATATGCAATTGATACAAGAATTATATTGTTATGTTATTTGCAGAAAACATTTGATGCTCTCTTGAATGTGAGTATGTTGAAGAGTAATTGGATTTCAAAGGCCAGTTCTATACAGAGGAGGGGAAGGTATGTAGTTTACATTCAGTAATTTTGCTATAAATGTAGCTATTTTAGTAAAAGATTTATTAAAGTAAGAATTGGATAATTGGTAAATATTGGATAGAATTAGATAATAAGCAGTAGTTTGATGGCTTAACAAATTGAGTAATGCAATAGTTACATTTTTCTTTTTAGCTCACCTGGCTAAAAGGCCAAGTGAGCTTTTCTCATCACTTGGCGTCTGTTATCATAGTTGTCGTCATCATCCATTGTCAGTAACTTTTACAAAAATCTTCTCTGAAACTACAGGGCCAAATTTGACCAAACTTGGACACAATCATTATTAGGGTATGTAGTTTAAATAAATGAGTCAGATGACCCTGCCTGCCAACCAACATGGCCTACATGGCTAAAAATAGAACCATAGGGGTGAAATGTAAGTTTTTTCTGTTATGAATAGAGAAAATTTGAGGGGGGGGGGGGTCAAAGATGTTCAGAATGTTGAGATTTTTTAGATCTACCTGCTTTCTATTTACGTCAAAACTGTCAGACGACTTCTTAAAGGAGTTATTGCCCTTAAATGTCAAATTATATCAATTTTTTTCGTTTATGCCTATTATTCTGAAAACTATACTAGATAGATAGAAACTTCAATTAGCAAAAATCATTAGCAAAGTTAGATCTACTAATAAATCATAGTGGAAATATTTTGGTAGACTCGTTATTGGAGTTGTTGCCCTTTAAAGATGAGTTTTACCATTTTTTGGAGCTTTTGCCTATTATTTTAAAATATAATAGATACAAATGTAGATAGAAACTTTAAAAATCAAAAATGATCAGCAGGACAAGATCTACAAATGTGTCAACATGACTGAAATTTCAGTTAACTCTTTATAAAGTTATTGCCCTTTCATGATGATTTTTGTCGAGCCTGCGACTTTTGTCGCAGAAAGCTCGACATAGGGATAGCGATCCGGCGGCGGCGGCGGCGGCGGCGGCGTTAGCTAACTTCTTAAAAGCTTTATATTTTAGAAGATGGAAGACCTGGATGCTTCATACTTTGTATATGGATGCCTCATGTTACGAAGTTTCAGTCAGTCACATGTCCAATGTCCTTGACCTCATTTTCATGGTTCAGTGACTACTTGAAAAAAAAGTTAAGATTTTTTGTAATGTTAAATTCTCTCTTATTATAAGTAATAGGATAACTATATTTGGTATGTGCGTACCTTGCAAGGTCCTCATGCCCGTCAGACAGTTTTCACTTGACCTCGACCTCATTTCATGGATCAGTGAACAAGGTTAAGTTTTCGTGGTCAAGTCCATATCTCAGATACTATAAGCAATAGGTCTAGTATATTCGGTGTATGGAAGGACTGTAAGGTGTACATGTCCAACTGGCAGGTGTCATCTGACCTTGACCTCATTTTCATGGTTCAGTGGTTATAGTTAAGTTTTTGTGTTTTGGTCTGTTTTTCTTATACTGTATGCAATAGGTCTACTATATTTGGTGTATGGAATGATTGTAAGGTGTACATGTCTAGCTGGCAGGTGTCATCTGACCTTGACCTCATTTTCATGGTTCAGTGGTCAAAGTTAAGTTTTTGAGTTTTGGTCTTTTTTTCTAATACTGCATGCAATAGGTCAGCTATATTTGGTGTATGGAATGATTGTAAGGTGTACATGTCTAGCTGGCAGGTGTCATCTTACCTTGACCTCATTTTCATGGTTCAGTGGTCAAAGTTAAGTTTTTGAGTTTTGGTCTTTTTTTCTAATACTATATGCAATAGTTCAACTATATTTGGTGTATGGAAATATTTTATGATCTATATGTCAGTCACGCAGGTTTTATTTGACCTTGACCTCATTTTCAAGGTTCATTGCTCAGTGTTAAGTTTTTGTGTTTTCGTCTGTTTTTCTTAAACTATAAGCAATAGGTCAACTATATTTGTTGTATGGAAGAATTGTTAGCTGTACATGCCTGCCTAGCATGGTTCGTCTGACCTTGACCTCATTTTCATGGTTCATTGGTCAATGTTTAGTTTACTTGGTTAATGTTAAGTTTATGTGACAGTTGTAATAAAGCTTTATATTTAGGACTATCAACATAATATCAATGATTAGTAAAGAAGGCGAGACATTTCAGCGTGTGCACTCTTGTTATTAAAAAATGGCCATTGTTGAAGAAGCAGGTGAGTGACACAGGCTCGTGGTTAAAGTTACTAGTGTCTTATGCATTTTGTAGAGCAGAAAAAAATCACAAAATGTATAGGTCATTGTTTCTGTTCAGTTCTTTTCCTTTATGCAAAATTCTAGACCATTAAGGTGTATAATCTCACATTTAGTGTCTCCTTGTGATATATGAATTAAAGGAGAGATAGCATTTATTTCAGTGAGACACCAATCCAACAACATAAAAAAACAAAAGACATCTAGAGGTCAAGAAACTGTCTACAGATCTAGACAATATATTGTCTCATTTCACATAACTTTCCATCTGATATCCAGTAAAGTATTTAAAAAATTTGTTTTTGTGTCAGTATTTAAAAAATTTGTTTTTGTGTCATGACTAATGCTGTTAAAAAAAATTTCACAATCTATTTAGATAGTTATATGGCTATAAATTTCTTAAATAGTCTGTGGCTTTTGTTACAAAAAACCTTGTCAAATTTCAGAGCTGGTAGATGTCGTCCAGGATCATGTTATCATCTAATGAGTACGGTCAGATTTAACTCTCTGATAGATTATCCTGCACCAGAAATACTCAGATATCCTTTACAGGTAAATATAAGGACCGTTGTGATATTAAAAAAAAGTAACTTATTTTTATGCCCCACCTAGGGGCATTATGTTTTTCGGTCTGTGCGTCTGTTCAACCGTCCGTCCGTTCGTTCGTCTGTCCCGCTTCAGGTTAAACTTTTTGGTCAAGGTAGTTTTTTATGAATTTGTAGTCCAATCAACTTGAAACTTAGTACACATGTTCCTTATAATATGATCTTTCTAATTTTAATGCCAAATTTCACGGTCCACTGAAAATGACAGTGTGAGTGGGGCATCCGTGTACTATGGACACATTCTTGTTGTCATCTAAAATTAAGTGTGTAGGTTTTTTTAAACAAGATGAAAAATATTGGGTATATATATATAATATATATATACAGCACAAACAACATTTTCCAAAAGACATTAATTGTCGAAATCCGGATATGGTGTACAAATTTTTGCACCTCATGTTTGCGGTATACCATCTTTTCTGCAAGTTTATTGTTTTCTGTTTGGTATTTAATTAATAAATTAAGATCCATTTTTACATCTGGTGATCCGTTTATTTGGCAATCGCCATGGCAGTCAGCAGGGTTTAAGAACATCCGTTGTTCGACCTGCTAGTCAAATGCGTTTTGTTAAAATATACTTTTTCACTATTTTTGGTCTTTTGGAAAATGTTGTTTGTGCTGTATTTAGACTACTCTACCAAGAAATTTGTTTTGCATGCACACGTATAAAAATTGCGGTTTTTATCCAACGCAATCATAGGTTTGAACGTTGTTTTCAATTTAGACTTGTTTATATTTTTTCGTTTGGGCTTGTATTATATTTGCCTTCGGGTTTATATGATCCGTTCATCCTATTTTGACTCTTCAAAATTCAAGAGTCAATCCCAAATTGAGGTAAATTATATGGCCTTCCAAATACCGTTTCGATTCCTAACATCACTGAAGAGACATTAACTGTCGAAATCCGGATATGGTGTACAAATTTTTGCACCTCATGTTTGCGGTATACCATCTTTTCCGCAAGTTTATTGTTTTCTGTTTGGTATTTAATTAATAAATTAAGATCCATTTTTACATCTGGTGATCCGTTTATTTGGCAATCGCCATGGCAGTCAGCAGGGTTTAAGAACATCCGTTGTTCGACCTGCTAGTCAAATGCGTTTTGTTAAAATATACTTTTTCACTATTTTTGGTCTTTTGGAAAATGTTGTTTGTGCTGTATTTAGACTACTCTACCAAGAAATTTGTTTTGCATGCACACGTATAAAAATTGCGGTTTTTATCCAACGCAATCATAGGTTTGAACGTTGTTTTCAATTTAGACTTGTTTATATTTTTTCGTTTGGGCTTGTATTATATTTGCCTTCGGGTTTATATGATCCGTTCATCCTATTTTGACTCTTCAAAATTCAAGAGTCAATCCCAAATTGAGGTAAATTATATGGCCTTCCAAATACCGTTTCGATTCCTAACATCACTGAAGAGACATTAATTGTCGAAATCCGGATATGGTGTACAAATTTTTGCACCTCATGTTTGCGGTATACCATCTTTTCCGCAAGTTTATTGTTTTCTGTTTGGGTATTTAATTAATAAATTAAGATCCATTTGTACATCTGGTGATCCGTTTATTTGGCAATCGCCATGGCAGTCAGCAGGGTTTAAGAACATCCGTTGTTCGACCTGCTAGTCAAATGCGTTTTGTTAAAATATACTTTTTCACTATTTTTGGTCTTTTGGAAAATGTTGTTTGTGCTGTATTTAGACTACTCTACCAAGAAATTTGTTTTGCATGCACACGTATAAAAATTGCGGTTTTTATCCAACGCAATCATAGGTTTGAACGTTGTTTTCAATTTAGACTTGTTTATAATATATTTATGTACATGAGAAAATATCTAACGTATAAATACTAATAAAAAAAACAAGGACCTGCTATTATTGCAATTAGAATAGTGCAAAAATCAGTTCACTTTTAAGGTTTTAATACGCCCGTCAGTTTTTGAGGGGACGTATTATGGTATACAAATGTCCGGTGTCTGTCCGTCCGTCCGTCTGTCTGTCCGGCATAAACATGTCGCACCGTAACTTGAGAATGACTTATCCAAATTTCATGAAACTTAAAATAGTTGTTTCTTATGATGGTCAAACGATCTGTATACTTTTTGGTGAAAATTAGATTAAAACTTTTTGAGTTACGGAACTTAGTAACTAAAACAGGTGTGTGTTTTTTTCCACATGTCGCGCCGTATCTCAAAAACAATTTATGATTATTTCTTAAAACTTTACACACTTCTTAGTTATATTAATCTTAAGATCTGTATACTTTTTGGTGATGATTCAAAATTTAATTTTTGAGTTATTGAGTATTTTGTAAAAAAAGGGGGAGTGGTTTTTCACATGTCGCGCCGTATCTCAAAAACGATTTATGATTATTGCTTAAAATTTTACACACTTCTTAGTTATACTAATCTAAAGATCTGTATACTTTTTGGTTTTGATTCAAAATTTTATTTTTGAGATATTGATTTTTTTTTTTTAAAAGGGGGGTTTTCACATGTCGAGCCGTATCTCAAAAACGATTTATGATTATTGCTTAAAATTTTACACACTTCTTAGTTATATTAATCTAAAGATCTGTTTACTTTTTGGTTTTGATTCAAAATTTTATTTTAGAGATATTGAGTTTTTTGTAAAAAAAAGGGGGGGTTTGTTGCATGTCACGCCGTATGTCAGAAACTATTTATGCTTATTGCATAAAAATTCACACACAAGACGACAGGCGTATCATGCGCTCATGGCGCAGCTGTTTATTATGTTCTTTTAAAGAGTTGTAAATTATAATTTTTGTGAAAAAAAAACCTACAGATGTATTTGAATTCCTTTAAAAAAGAGGGGTGAGAAATATTGCGGGAACAATCAAAACCATAAATCAACCAAATACGGACAACAAATTTTGTCTAAAGTGAAAAAAGACTAAAAGATAATCAAGTCTACAAAACACTTTACAGAAAACAGAAAACTGCATAACACAAACCTCACCAAAATCCAGTGGTGAATCCAGGTCTTATGTTGAGTTAACAAAGACCACAATGTGATTCCTATGATATGTTTTAGGAGTTATGTCTTCACACAAAGTTATTAGCTCCAGCTAATATAAGTATAGCAGATTTCTTAGGTAAAGCACCAGAACCACCACCATTTCTAGTCACCAGGAATGCTGTACATATCTTAAAGGTAAATATCTACAAAATATATCAATTTATATTCAGGCATGCAGTCTCTGTTAAATTATTGTTGTATAATTTGTATAGAATTGGCATTTCTTTATAAATTTTTCAGGCTTCTTGATACTAAACATTTTAAGTTGTTTCTGTAGCCCCTGTCTATTTTGTTTTTTTCTTAATGGCATTTGAAAAAGGATTTAATTTTAATTTTTGGGCTCTGTTTTTTGCTTGTGAAATTCAATGGGAACTAGTTTCATTTGATACTCAGAAGCCTACCTTGCAAATTATAATTTTTAGGCATTAATTTTTTAATTTTTGTCCATCTTAAAATGTAGTACATAATTACTTTTTGTGTTACAAAATAGCAAATGGATGCATTAGACAGTTTTGAAGATTTGACAGAATTAGGACATCACCTAGCCGACATGCCAGTAGAACCTAGACTTGGGAAGATGGTACTATATGCTGTGGTATTAAAGTGTTTAGACCCTATACTTACCATTGTGTGTTCACTGGCTTATAAAGATCCATGTAAGTAAGCTTTGTGTTAATGAGAGCCCATGTGCAGTCTTCAGATGGAAAGGTCTGTCTGACAGTGCGTTCATCTTACCTTGACATTTTCATACTATTCAAACTATAGGCAGTAGGTCAACTATATATGGTTAATGAAAAGATAATTAGATGTACATGTCCATTTGGCTGGATTCATTTGACCTTGACCTTATTTTCATGGTTCATTGTTAAACATTAAGTTTTTGTGATTAAGTCAGTTTCACAGATACAATAAGCAGTAGGTCAACTATGTTTGGTGTATGTGTCCATCTAATCACAACTCACATCTTTTGTTGTTTTGCTTAAGATTTACAAAATAAGCATTCCAAATTATACTTACAGTGAACTTGTATAGGATTTGAATCTGACAAGCTGTGCTTCATTTTCTTTTTTAGCAGATAGCATTTGTTTTCAATTATTATGGCATGTGCAATATAAGTATTCACAGCATATTGTAGCATATAAATTAGCAAATAACAAATACACAACAATAGTATAGGGGACCTATTGTGTATTTTTTATTGTAAAGCCTTTTTTTATTTCATTCATGTACTAAACAGTTACCTAGGTCAGTTGAAAGCATTTAAATGATGAACAGATGATATAATATTCATTATATTTTCAGTTATGTTACCAGCACAGCCATCACAGAAAAGAGCAGCTACAATGTCTAGACATAAATTTTCAGCATCTACATACAGTGATCATATGTCGTTGCTTAGAGCTTTTCAGGTAATCTACATACAGTGATCATATGTCATTACTTAGAGCTTTTCAGGTAATCTACATGCAGTGATCATATGTCGTTACTTAGAGCTTTTCAGGTAATCTACATACAGTGATCATATGCTCCGGGTGCGGGATTTTCTCGCTGCATTGAAGACCAATTGGTGGCCTTCAGCTGTTGTGTGGCCTTCTGCTCTTTGGTCGGGTTGTTGTCTCTTTGACATATTTCCCATTTCCATTCTCAATTTTAGTCATTACTTAGAGCTTTTCAGGTAATCTACATACAGTGATCATATGTTGTTACTTAGAGCCTCTCAAGTAATCTACATATGGTGATCATATGTCGTTACTTAGAGCCTTTCGAGTAATCTACATACAGTGATCATATTTCATTACTTAGAGCTTTTCAGGTAATCTACATACAGTGATCATATGTCGTTACTTAGAGCCTTTCGAATAATCTACATACAGTGATCATATGTCGTTACTTAGAGCCTTTCGAATAATCTACATACAGTGATCATATGTCATTACTTAGAGCTTTTCAGGTAATCATCGTTATAAGATTATACCCTTGACCGAATATTATTCTTGTATTCAACAATTGATGTGAAAATGGAGTGAACCAATATTTGGTAAAACAGAATTTGATAGAATCCCTAATTTGGATATCTTAGGTATGCAGGGTTGTGAAAAGAGCAAATAAGAGACATGACATAATGACATAAAGATTTTAAGAAACAAACTGTAAATTGATATTTCATTTTCCTGGTAATTGTTTCACCAGATAGCAAAGCTATAGTGACATGTAGGGATCACTACTGTCTTCTTGCTTGGAGTGAACCAATATTTGGTAAAACAGAATTTGATAGAATCCCTAATTTGGATATCTTAGGTATGCAGGGTTGTGAAAAGAGCAAATAAGAGACATGACATAATGACATAAAGATTTTAAGAAACAAACTGTAAATTGATATTTCATTTTCCTGGTAATTGTTTCACCAGATAGCAAAGCTATAGTGACATGTAGGGATCACTACTGTCTTCTTGCTTCGTCTGCGTCACACTTTGCTCATCTACAACTCATTGAAAACAGTTTGACAGAATTCAACCATCACTTTCACAGATTCTCTAAAGGGCATGAAGTTTTACAACTACTCTAAATTAATGATCTGACATATTTTTTGGGATTTCTCTTTGCAAACATGGTGTTTCTGATAGTAGGAAATAATCTTTGGAAGATTCAAAAAATTTCATACTAACTTTCTATTTATGTCTTCACTTTCTATACCAAGGTTACACTGTTATATGTAATATCACTTCTTGGGTTTTTAGTAAATCTTTGATTACCTGTATTGGTTGTGACAACCCTGAGCACCAAAACATTTTAATCTAATCAAATTACTACAGCAATCCACGGAGGGTTGTTCCTGATGACCCTGAGCACCAAAACATTTTAATCTAATCAAATTACTACAGCAATCCACGGAGGGTTGTTCCTGATGACCCTTAGCACCAAAACATTTTAATCTAATCAAATTACTACAGCAATCCACGGAGGGTTGTTCCTGATGACCCTGAGCACAGCAATCAACGGAGGGTTGTTCCTGATGACCCTGAGCACCAAAACATTTCAATCTACTCAAATTACTACAGCAATCCACGGAGGGTTGTTCCTGATGACCCTGAGCACCAAAACATTTCAATCTAATCAAATTACTACAGCAATCCATGGAGGGTTGTTCCTGATGACCCTGAGCACCAAAACATTTTAATCTAATCAAATTACTACAGCAATCCACGGAGGGTTGTTCCTGATGACCCTGAGCACCAAAACATTTCAATCTAATCAAATTACTACAGCAATCCATGGAGGGTTGTTGTTATAAGAGGTTTTATACATTAATATCTAATAATATAAAGATAAAGGATCTTTTTTAAAGATTGAAAAAATTGTACAGAAATACAATATTTGATGTATTTTGACATTTTAGGCATGGCAGAAAGCTAAGACTGATGGATGGGATAGAGGTTTCTGTCATAAGAATTATCTGTCTTCTGCTGTCATGGAAATGATAGTTGGCATGAGGTAAACATACACGAGAGCTAGCTACATCTATCAAGTTGTTGTCTTAAACTGAGCAGACAAGACATAATTCACTGTTAATAGTCCATCCTGTTGAAGAACTTTCATGATCAAATTTTTAATATAGTGAATATAATTTTATATGTTATTTTCTTCTTGCTGCTGCTTCAATCAATTCAAAGCTAAAAATAAATTTTAGCTCATACAGATACAATTCACTAACTTGGAATTCATGTTATGAATCCAATTGTTTTCAGTTCTCTCATATTGTACAGCATACACAATTACATTAATATTTCTATTAAATAGTGCTCCATTTTGACAATTTCAATATATAGATAACTGTACTAAAAAAAAAATTGTGATTAGCAGATTTGAAGAACAATATTAACATCCCATGGATTAAGTTGTCATTAAAGAAAATTTTTAGTTTTGCTGAAGAAAGTTAAAATGTAAATTATAACACCCATAACAGAAATTATGCAAATATTGTTTTAAATATTACATATTACCATTATTGTATTTGTATGCTATATCAAATACTTATAAATGTTTTTTTCATTTTTTGTGTAGGGCACAACTGTTGGGTCAGCTGAGAGCTTCAGGATTTGTTAGAGCCAGAGGAGGAGGAGATATCCGAGATCTAAATACTAATTCTGAGAACTGGGCCGTTGTCAAGGCAGCATTGTGTGCTGGGATGTACCCTAATATCATCAGGGTTGATAGGCAAAAGTCACAGCTTCTATCATAGTAAGATATTATATCATTAAAATAACTAAGAAAACAGACTAGAAAAAAGTTATTTCAACATTAAAAGGTTATAGGGTATGCTTGACAACATACTTTATGAATTGTTTGATGCTTTGTATTTTTGGGATATAGAACATAATTTTACTGCTGACCTTGTGTTATTGCTGTTCATTATTTATATTATATTTATTTTATTAAATGATGAGGACTTTCTTTGATTAGAATTAATACTTCCTAATTTATTTCCATTCCACATGTGGTGGCCTCAGTGGCCTAGGGGTCTAAGTGGTTCATCTACTGTATCACTAGCCTGTCACAACCGATTTCCATGATATAGCCAAAAGTGCTGAAACTGGTTTTAAACAGCAACAATCAATCATTCCACATTTGATATATATTTGAGAAATTTTTTTTGCTGTTAATTTTGAATACATTTGTGAAAGAAAGTGTTTTCTCATCCTGTTATTGGTTATAAATTATTGTGTGGTTGCTTTGGACTTAGGTATTTCTATCTTATCCAAACTATTTTTCCAGCGATATTTGAAAATTATTGTATTAAGGTTAATCGGTGAAAAAAAAGAAAGCAGGATTAGGAAATCTCTATACACCTATCATCTCTGATTAGGAGAGTAAAAATGTTACTCCTCGGTCTCTTATATCTCACATTTTTATACGCCCGTTTACGGGACGTATTATCGTATACCTCTGTCTGTCCGTCCATCTGTCCATCTGTCGTCAACATGTCAGACATTAACTCAAAAACGCTTTAACCAATTTGCATAAAACTTTGGTGAATTGTTTATATCTATTGATGTGAGCTCCCTTTCGTTTTTTATAAATTTTAGATTTTATTTTTAATGTTAAAATCCTTAATATATATAATCTTTGTTTACAGTAAAGAAGGGAAGGTGAAGTTCCACATGTCGTCAGTATTAAACACTTTACCAACCGCAGCCTGTCTCAGTAGAACTGCCACACATAAGAATGTTGTCAGAAATCTGCCATCAGACTATTTAATGTATGATGAGATGTCTCGCTATGAAAGACTTGCATTTGTCAGATGTTCTACACTGGTGTCTTCAGCTACTGTAGCCCTGTTTGCTGGTCCAAGTAAACTCTCCCCTGATGCAATCAAGGATGCTGATACAGGTATGTATTGTGTAGACAAATATAAATATTTAAAATCAGACATCTTGTATTTATGTTTTTTTTTTTCAAGAAAGTTTTGAACCAATATACGTTGACATAATATTCTTGTATAATTTCATGTCAAAATCAATTTAGAAAATGCAAAAACAATTATTTTTCAGTTGTACTCTTCAGTATTTGATTTTGAAGGTTTTTCATGCTTTACATTTAGCTACCCCCTGGAATTTACTATAAAACTGTTGTGACTGTTAATGGACGTAAAAGAGATAGAATTTGTAAATGCTTCACAGATTGGCCTTGCGAAACAATAGAATTTAATCAGATTTTCTTTCATCATCTTGTACTGTTCAGTAAAGGCAGACTGATTGGTCAAACATAATGTGTGATATGTCTAGTTAAGGACTATAATATCATTGATTGGAGTATGAATATTATTAAAAGGATATACATCAATGAGCCAACAACCCAATAATAATAACCAAAAGACATCTAGGGGACAACAAACAGTCTTCAACAGCAGACATGCTATACAATATATCAACCTCTAAATCATCCTAATCCGTAATCTGAAAAACCATCAAAGATCTGTCATGGAATTCTATTCTTAACCTACATGTTTCTATATTAGGAATTGTACATACTGAACAATATTTTTGTTTACAGAGTATAGACGATATGATGACTATGTTGATGCTGCCAGCGACAGTGAAGAAGAAGTAGACGGAGAAGTATCAAAGACATCGTTACATCTCGATGATTGGCTTAGATTTAAAATTGATCCGGAGGTAAATAGTTTTTTCTAATTTTGAAATGTTCAGTTTATACTTTAGTATCCTATGCAGTGTAATATAGCAATGCATTCTTTGGATTAATTAATTACTGAGGGTGGCATATACTATATAAAATGTTAATTTTGAAAAAAATCTTTGGTTATTAGAAAACAAAAGCATAAAACCATTGGTGTAAGAAAAAAATGATTAACTATTTTCTAAAAAGATAAACGGATAGGATATTAATGTTTGATAAATATTTCAGGTAAAGTAACAACTGTAGGGTTTGGGGATGAGGATATGTTATATGTTTTCTGGTGCTTTCTTTTGTTTTCTCTTTTAATTATATTCACACTGCTTATTAAGTGTAATAGTTTTGAGTAACACTTTCTTGTACAGACTTATTAGAAATTCATTTGTATACACATATTTAAGATTGATACAATTTTAAGTTATCACTTTTTATTTATTTTTTTATTTTTTTATTTATGTTGTAGACAGCAACCTGTATTATGCAATTAAGGACTAAATGGCACAGCCTTTTCTTGAGGAGGATGAGGAATCCATCAAAACCTTGGTCTCAAGTTGATGAGGTATACTCGAGAGTAAATACATAATAGGTCTGTGCAGAGTTCACAGAACAAACATTATAGCTTGGTCAGTAAACAAAAGGAAGTACAAAATTCTAATTGTTATAAAAATAAGGAGACCTGGTATGATTGCCAATGAGATAACTTTCCACCAAAGGATGTTAAGGATGTGAATAGCTCCAAGTCATCATACAGTATTCAAATATGACCAAAACCCATACTGTACAGTAAAATGTGAAAGGCCATATGCTATTTTGAATACTTTTATATGTCTAATGCTGAAGCTCAGCTTTCTTCTCATTAGGTAAAACATAGGTGCTTTCCATATCTTGTTGGTTGTAAGTCCATGGATTCTGAACACAACTCATTTCTTTTGTCTTTACTTTACATGGGGCATTATTAGATGCTTGAACCAACCATCATTATATGTAACTATTATTGAAAATTATTTGATTCTTGTTTTAACATTTGTTGATACTACCATATAATTTCAAACCTTAAATTTTGTGTTCTCCAGGCTGTAATAAGAGCAGTGATTAATGTTCTAACCAATGAAGAACAAGCTTTAGGATTACAACAGCCTGCTGGGATAGGACAAAGACCAAGACCTATGAGTATGTATTATAAAATATAAGATCAAACTGCTGAGCTTTAAATACAATGTGATAAATATGGGTAAGATTCTTATTTCCTAGACTGAATGAATGTTTTAAACAACACTCCATTGTTAAGTGCAAATTAATACAGTGATAAAACCCATCTGTATCAAATCAGAGCAATATTGTACCATTATCTAACAATTTCATTTTGAACTGTGTTTGAATGAAAATGTATCCTTACTCTATTGAAATCTCCTTGTCCATTCTTATGTCTGTCTGAAAAATAGTTTTGTCACACTTTTCTTAGGTACTACTGAACAGAATGGCTTCATATTTGGCCAGTAGCTGATGGATGTGTTGTTATGTGTGTGCACAGCTGATGGATGTGTTGTAATGTGTGTACTCAGCTGATAGATGTGTTGTAATGTGTGTACACAGCTGATGGATGTGTTGTAATGAATGTGCACAGCTGATGGATGTGTTGTAATGCGTGTGCACAGCTGATGGATGTGTTGTAATGTGCGTGCACAGCTGATGGATGTGTTTTAATGTGCATGCACATCTGATGGATGTGTTGTAATGCGTGCACACAGCTGATGGATGTGTTGTAATGCGTGCGCACAGCTGATGGATGTGTTGTAATGCATGTGCACAGCTGATGGATGTGTTGTAATGTGCGTGCACAGCTGATGGATGTGTTGTAATGCGTGTGCACAGCTGATGGATGTGTTGTAATGTGCGCACATCTGATGGATGTGTTGTAATGTGCGCACAGCTGATGGATGTGTTGTAATGTGCGCACAGCTGATGGATGTGTTGTAATGTGCGCACAGCTGATGGATGTGTTCTAATGCGTGTGCACAGCTGATGGATGTGTTGTAATGTGCGTGCACAGCTGATGAATGTGTTGTAATGTATGTGCACTTTTTTCAAATCTGTCAGTTACTTCTTTCTGTTTGTGGTTACTTTGAACTTTTCAATATGTTGATGAACTTGATATTTTCATCACACATTTCTACAGTATACTATAAACAATTCCTAATCCTTTACTAGAATAGAGGAAAAAATATTTTTAGAGTATATCTTTTAATGGTTTTGAATACCAAAAATATAAATAATTGTGTTGATTATTGAATTACAGCCTCAGAATCTTTGATGTCGGGTAGCTACTCTGGTAATGAGAATGAAGATTACGGCAATGGCAGGAATGTGAGAAAGGGTCTATCAACACCCCCAGCCAAACAGATTCAGCTTCTGTCAAGTAAATATCATTCTTACAAATATTTTTTTGTTATTTAATTGCATTTTGTATAAAAAGAAAAAATGCTTATAGTATGATTTAACAGTGTGAAATATAATTTATGTTAAATTTTAAATTTCTATCTTCTATTTATGTTTATTCCATTCTTACTAAAATCTCTCTATTTCATTGTTTGATAACTACCATATATTGACAACAATTTAAGTTAAAAACTGTCAATATACAGTTACTTCTTATCCTTGTGATATCATAAATTGACATACATTTGGGCCAGTTATGGGGAAATATGAAGCTAATAGTACACACAGTAAAAAGTTCTATTTTTACTGAAACATATTTTAAAACAACATTATATCTCTACAAGTTCAGGTTCAGCAAGTTTACAAATGGTAGGGACTCATTAGTAGGGAGAAATTGGCTTAAAGTTGCCCTGAAGAGGGTATACAGAAATAATTGGGTCCATGTGGAACCAACAAAATCCTTTTTTACCAGATTAATCACCATTTAAAAAAAATATGTTTTTTTTAATATTTTTTTAAAGTTTTATCTCAAAATAGAAATGTGTACATAAATGTGCAAAGCATATTATTAAATTATATGATGACAGTATTTAAACTTTGATTATCAGTCTTCCCTTTGCCTATATAACCCTGCTCAGCTCATAGTAAAATTTCAAATCAGTACTTATGACATCAAATGTATTTGATCTAGCTTATATAACATAGATCAAGACTTATCACAGACGTCATAATGCTTGATCCGAAATTGATAAGTGTGACCTGAACATATAAAGACCTCTTCCAGTTTATTTATTGTTTTTCGACCAGGAAAACTACACAAATGTATGTCTGCTATATCGTAATAATTTGACTTGTTTTATCCACAGGGACACCAAAAGGAGATAGAGAGTCTTTCAGTAGTAATACATCTTCCTCAAACAGTCCAAGAGGAAGTGAAGCCAGTACTCCATCAGGTAGTCCTCAGCCAAAACAAGGTCAAGGTCATCCATGTAGGTATTATGTGATGAAATGTACACATCAGAAGACATTAGACACATCAGTCAGTAATGGAACATGGTTTGTCACAGCTAATAGTGCCAAGAAAATCAATAAAGCTTTCCAGGTTTGTCAATCACTTTTATAACCAATGTAATTGTGGAATGTTTACTGGGATTTTTATGCTTTTGTTTGATAAAGAATGTAAACTAGATGATTAAATAACACTTGAACTAAAAAATAGAGTGCTGGTTATTTTAGGTACCGTTCTACCTCTACCAAAAAAAGGGGATGGTAGTCAGATCAGAAGTTCTGTATTACAACAAGCTGACTAACAGACCCCTAAGAATAATTGTAAAGTCCTTGGAACAAAAACAAACATTGCATTCTCTCAATTTAAGGAAAAACTCATCCAAGATACCAGGCTTATAATTGTGTACGCCAGGTGCGTGTTTTGTCTTCAAAAGACTAATCAGTGATGCTCGAAACACAAAAGTTAAAGGCCAAATAAATTTTAAAGTTGAAGAGCATTGAATGCCAATAAATTCTGAAATGCTTTGCCAAATACAGATATTAAGTTAATCTATTCCTGGGGTAGAAAATGCTTAGTATTTAAAAATTTTAAGTTTTGTAAACAGTTTTGAAATATTTACAATATAACCAGATGTTTTTTGACAAAGACTTTGTGAGAAGGAAAGGTAGGCTATTCAGATAAATTTACTTTTAATAATCAGTTCTACATTTTATGATATCTATTCAGGATGGGAAAACTGTGTTGATGATATTTTCTATCAATGCCAGTGGACATTTCCAGGGATATGCCAAGATGACTTCTTTAGCTGCAAAAGATAAAATGTCAGGTGTACAGAATTCAAACTTCAATTATATATGCTCTATAGAATGGATAAAGAGGTACTGTTAAATGCTTTTTTCTAAATAAATTTATCTGGTGTGGTGACATAGTTATCGTCTTTTGATTTCCGTTGCCCACAAATATAGTCCCTAGTGTGGACAGCATATAACTTGCCAATTTTTTCATATAGTTTCCAAATTTATTTCTTATGTTTTGTGCATAAAACTGTAAGTAAGGGGATGAAAATATTTGTAAAAAATATTGAGTCATGAGTTTTAAGGTCAAGTAGTGATTTGGCCAGTTAAAAAAAGGTAAAAATTAGTATGTCTGAAGCTGTCAAACTGAATTATAGACCCCTTAGTATAAAATTTTGAGTAAGAGTAAGAGTTGGTAAGCTTTTCTATAATTTGGATATAATCTGTCCCAAAAGTAGTACACTTCACTGTAAAAATCTTATTGAGAAAATGCAGGTTATTATTTGTTTAGTTCTTGAAATTTGAAGTTTTAAAAAACATTTTAAAAAGTATGATAAAATATGAAATAAAATGTATGGTTTTCATATGCATTTTTAATTGTTTTTGAATATTTTTTTTTTAATTTTTTGCTGGGAATTTGAAAATTTAAACTATATAGAAATATATATTTTGAAAAAAGAATCATGAGAAGAGATTAATGATAAACAAACATTTATGTGACCTAACAATACACCTTATTGCTATTTATTCCTATCTGGATAAGTTCTAAAATTACACAACTTTTCAAACCAGTTGAAGCTATCACTTTGTAAAATCTAAACAAACTGATATAACTGTATATAAATTATAGTATGATGATTTTTGTATGATGGAAATATTTTTATTTATTGTAATAAATGTTCTATCTGTTTGTGTATTCCAAACTTTTGATTATAAGTTTATAATTTTAAATATTTCTTATGATTTTATTAAGGATTATATAGGATTTCTTTATCTTTTTTTTCAGAAATAATCTTCCATTTCAATTGACTCATCATCTCCTGAATCCACTGAACGAGAACAAGAGAGTTCAGATTAGTAGAGATGGACAGGTATGTCTCAGTTTAGTTTATGTTTTTGCATGGTTTTGTTGTTTAGGATTCAATCATCTAGACTGACCATTGTTAACCTCTTGTCCCTTTAACCATCATAGATTACATCTTCTTAAAGGGATATGAATTATTAAAAGATTGAAAAAGTCTATAAGGAATGGCCACATACAAAAATAGAGTATTTTCATGGTAATTCAATACTAAGTTTTGTTTATGCTTATATTGGACAATGTTTTATGGGTTGTTTCTATATGACTGTCTGTACTTTCATATCGTCCAGAAATTATTGTGATATTTACTAACACCTTTTTTTGTACACAGACTTGTTTATGCAATTTGGCAAAAAATGGGGAGAAAAGAACCTGATTTTCCTTTTCTTTTTCGATAGATAAATGTCAATGGTTTCAGAAAAGGTTTCTCTCAAAAGGATTGAAATTCTACTTCGGATAAAATTTTAGGAACATGTGACATTTTTGTGTCCCTTTTTTAATATTAATGGGGAATGTTGCAAAGGATACTCAAAATGATGCTATATTTCACAATATTATTAATTCGTATATTTTAACTAATTTGATTCGTTCAGGGATAGTCACATGTTAAACTATATTTTCGAAGGTAGAGAGAAAACGGCTGATAGCAAAAAGCATATTGCACAGCAAAAGGCATATTGCACAGTTATTTTTAGAATATCTAAAATCCGATATACTTTGTGACGGCATGTAATGAATTTCATGATATTGTTAAAATTTTTATAAAAAGATATTTTTGATCGACTATTTGAAGAAAAAAATCTTCAGATACATAAGATGTGAAAAAACAACAAAAAAAAAAAGCAAATGAAATAACAAATAATTATGTTGTTATCGTCTAGGAGACAATATGATATCTATAAAATTCCAACAAAATCAAATGACGATTTTGATACAAATGTGGTTGGAAATTAATAATATAACAATTATAGCCTATTTATGAGGTCAATACAGGATATATCGACCCAAAGAAGTATATCGACCTCGGACTTCGTCCTCAGTCAATATACTTCTTTCAGGTCAATATATCCTTGTATCGACCTCATACAAAGGCTATAATTGTATAGTATTAACCATTGGAAATCTCATCAAAGGTAGATACTGATAACCTACATATGTACATCCATGCATGTATAAGATAAACAGTAAGCATAATTTATTAGATAGCCAGGAAAGAGAATGGTTACAGGGTGAATTCAATAACTAACTTGCTTCTTCATTTTTTATCATTTAAAAATAGTTTCTGTCATGTATCACAAAATACCTGATAGAGAATATTACAAGGGCAGATATATCATGAAAAAAACTTTCTTTATAGGAGATAGAACCATCTGTGGGTGAAGCCCTAACTAAATTATGGGATAGAAAGGATCCATTGGAGAGGGGTTGGAGAGACAATCAGTCATATCAACACTATGACTCGAATGAACAAAGATATCAACAGTCACCATTTAATCAATTTCAAAGTGGAAATCCATTTTATCCTCCAGAGGGCGCTTCTGGGAATGCTGAAATGTTCAATGCAGCTAGATTGTATGGAAGTATGAGTACCTATCCTACTTACCCTGGGTATATGATGTCACCACCCAGACAGAATCCTGTAACAATTCTTCAGAGAAATCAAAATAGGAGATACCAAAATTATGGGAGGCAGCATGGTCCAAGTGGAGATAACTGATAAGTGCAAAGAGTTGTCTTTCTTGGAATCTGTGATATATAATGATTTCACAATCATGCATTTAGAACCTGTCTTAAACAATTTTGTCATATCTTAACCAGCACTACTTACATGTCATGGTTATGTAGAGATCTGTCTTTTTTTGTGTCCATTCATCTTTCAAACTTGAATTTTCAAAATGATAATTGAAGTACCCTTCTGACCAATTATAAAAGATTCACCATAATTGAACTGTGCAAGACTCTCATTGGAAGTTAATATTGGTAGACACTCCCATTGTAGTATTAACCATAATATGTAATCTGAATTTGGTTTTGGTGATATGACCTTTACCTCTAAAGATATAGGTCCTTTTAGAAAAATTAGTTTTGATACTTTTTAGAGATGTAGAGAAAATGGGAAGCAAGTCTAGTTTCCTTTTATGAGATAAAAGAAAAAATAAGATTTAAATTCTTTTAAAAAATCATCCTGGTGAATACATGACTTTCCTTGATCAAAAAATGAAAATAGACAAAATTTCTGTCAGGATTCTAAATGATATTTTAACATTACAACTTTAAATGTGTGTTAGGTAGAAATTAAGTCACATCCCTTCACTCTTATTTTATGCCTTGAAAAAATAAAAAAGAATGAAAGGCAATTTGATATAAGATTGCTCTGAAGCTGCTTGGTTATTAGGGATGCTATAGTGTTTTACTTCTCTGCCAAAACAAGGTATTCATATACAATAAAAATATGTGCAAGTTCAGTGCAATTTGATTAGTCATTGCAATATAATAGTAACGTCTGTGAAGAATTGTTGCAAAATAATATTTACCTTTTATGATACAGTAGCTATGTTTAATTATAAGTAATTGAATACTATGCAGTACGAGAGTATGTTCTTTTTTTAACAATTTTTTTCAGTGCTAGCACTGAAAACTAGATACTCATATTGTGAAAAAATAAAAGATGTGAACAAACATTAACATTGAAATATATATTATATATTCTGATACAAGTCTTAATCAGCATTAGGTAAACAAGATATATATTTTTTCTAGTATATATGTAGGGAGTACATCTATATAATAGTTAGATTATTGCATGTGTCAAAAAAGTTAATTTAAAGATGTAAAGAGTATTTATTAGGCTTTAATGATTACATTTTTGTTTGACACATGAAGACTTGTTGAAGGCAAGACATAGGTATTTCATTCCTGTGACAGTTACTACAAGCTGTATATAAAGATTCATATCTTAGAAGGTAGGAGGATCCATATTTTAAGTAGAACATAGCTTATTCAAGGACATATGCAATCGATGATTGACCCTATGTCGTCATATTTCTGTAATAGTGAAATCTCTATTACATTCTAATTTATAGGAAAGTTTTTCCAAACAGTCCCAGAGAAAACAGTCTTTTCTGTTTGTATCATTCAACCAAACTGATCATTGATAAATAGTTTTTTACAACTGATAAAAGTACAGTCGAACCTCGTTGTGTCGAAGTCGAAGGGACCAGACCAAAGTATTCGACTCAACCGAGGTTCGACTCATCCGAGGTCAAGTGTGTCGTCATAAATTTGGAATGCACGAAATACGGTATGAGATTTGTGTTAACTAGACACAATGAACAGTGTGCCTTTTTTTCGATATGACACTTTATGATTGTGTATTCAATCTCCTTTTTTGGTCCTTCGTAATAATTAAACACACAACAAGTACAGATACAAATCATGCACAAATAAAATCAATAGTCTACACAAATATTTACAAAGGTCAGTCACTATAAATTATGAAATCACTCGCGGCACGAAATAAGTTCTAAATGGTATCTGATGAGGTCGTCTGCTTTACATTAAATTATCATGAATTTATTATAATTGTCCTAATCGTTTTATTTATTGTAATTAATGAGTTTTAAATCTAACGATTCATTTAATCTCGGCTTGGGTCATTTAAATTCGTTTCGTTTTTATCTCAGGTGAAAAATGTTCCACACTAACATTCCGCTTGAACGATCAACAAAGGTGTTAATTAGCGGTCACCATAAACATGTCATGTTAACTGTTATACAAACAAGTATGTTTACTCAGCTTTAATGTCTTTTGAAAATGATTAGGTGACATAAGAAATACATCCGATTTGAATTTTTATCATTAGGTCTGCATCTTTCGAAAATTCTTACTTTCGAACTTCGAGACATCGGGGTCAATTTACATTAATTTTACTTCGACAGGACTATAAAATTTACTCGACTTAACTGAGTATTCGAATCAACCGAGTTCGACTCATCAGAGGTAATTATGCATTGATCAAACGGGAATTTTAACGGGACTGAGAAATTACTTCGACTCATCCGAGTTTGCGACACAACCGAGTTCGACACAACGAGGTTCGACTGTATACAGAAGAAATTGTAAACTGTTTGACAGTCCATGTGATTATCTACTTAATCATGTGACCAATTGATGGTAGTTTACTGTCAATTCACCAGAAGGATGAGATTCAAAATATCAACTTTTTTTTCATTCGTAAATATTTTTATAATTCTTTAAAAACATATTATAGCTTTACTCACAAGATAGCTCTTAAAAAAGTAAAAATATTCAACAAGAATACAATTTTTTAAAAGCTAAAAACATGAAATTGTATTAAGGGAGATAACTTCTCTTCCAATTTTCCTAGAATATTCTTTTGTAATCTCCCATTTAATGAATAAGGTCTTGCAGGTTAAAAGGAAGTATTTAAATATGACTGGCACCACCTAGTTTTTACATCAAAGATAATAAGTAGAAGTAAATTTATTTTCTGCTGCCCTTTTAAATAGAAAACAAAATTGAAATAGGGAGAAATTAGTGTTGGCTATTGGTGTAGAAATAGCGAGAAATTTGGAGGAAACTCTCTGTAATGAGCAACATTTTACTTCGCAAAATTAAGCAAGGGTGTTCTTTATTCATACTATTTTAGAAATTCCGGAACCATAGAGAACCCTTAAAAAATGCAATTTTTCTATGTGTTTTGCAGTTTTATTAACACCCAAAGGTGTTGAAATTCAGAATTTGAAAGTTTTATCAAAGGATCTTTTGTAGTGAAAACGCAGACCCCAAAAAGGCTACCATTGTCGCCTTTGTAAATAATTACTTCATTTTTACCTGCAGTGTAATCAATCTTTGAAATAATGAAGGATTTTACAACTGGATTTTTTACTGCAACACTTGCAGCCAAGTGACAGAAAGTTATTGTAAAATATACTTGACAGATTTGTTGTTTGAAACTGACCTTATTTTCATGGTCCAGTGATTTTTGTCCATTTCATAATAAGTATTTTGTTATTGAGAGGGAAAATAAATTAAAAAAATAGTTTACAACTATCAAATATATCAAGTGTTCTTGACTTCATTTTTAAAGTGATTCACATTGAGTTCTGAGTAACATTTTTACAAAGGTTGTATTTGTCAATTATTATTTGTCTCTTGATGACAAGATGCACATGTTAGTCAGATGTGTTTATGTATTTTGATTTATTCACACAAACCTTTTATCAGGTGAAACATTTTTTGGTGTCCTCAATACTGAGGTTTTCTAGCACTGTGTAATGCTGAAATTAATTGATAAACATTGTATTAGTCTGAGTGTATTATATGAGTTAATATAAGGATGTATTAGTGTGAGTGTATTATATGAGTTAATATAAGGATGTATTAGTCTGAGTGTATTATATGAGTTAATATAAGGATGTATTAGTCTGAGTGTATTATATGAGTTAATATAAGGATAGCATATATTATTCTTGACTCTGCTAAAGGGAAAACATTGTTCAGTGTTATAATGCAACCATGAGATATCCAAAACTATTAGTCATTGTTGTACATAATTTTTTCAGCTTCAGCAAATATATAAGATTGTATTTCTACTTTTCAATTTAAACCAGAATGGACAGTTAGCTATAATAACTGATATTTGTTATTAAGTCAAACTTTATTAAGTAAGAATGTCTTTCCTGTTTGTTATATTTATGACATAGGAATTGACACACTTACCCCTAATTAGCCCAAAGTTCAATATGTTTTGCATGTATCATTTATTTTAGTATTCGGTAAAGTTAAATGATGAAATGCATGAAATTAAAAATTTCAATAACTGTCCTAAATACATGCATCATAAGATAACTAGTGTGAATCCTTATGTAATGAGGTGTCGTCATTAGATTATACTAATTATCAAATGATAAAATCTGCTGATTGTCATAAAAACTTTCACTTTATTATAAAAATGTAAGTATAATACATTAATTAGACAAGCCAAAATATGTTGCAAAAATAACCTATATAAGCTACCACTTTAGTACTCTAAAGTAAAATAGAGTTATTTACACTAAATATCGTGGAAGGTTTAGTTTGCATAAAGAAATTTCATAAGTATAGAACTTTTGATAAGTTTAAAAAACATTGGTTGCATTATATTAATAAATATTAAGTTTTACTTTAGCAGGATATTAGTATTTATATATTTGTATTTAAAATATGTAGAAATAGATTTTTGGTGGAAAGGCCAAATGGGCTGTTGTAGAAATAGATTTTTGGCGGAAAAGGCCAAATGGGCTGTTGTAGAAATAGATTTTTGGTTGAAAAACCAAATGGGCAGATGCAGAAACTTGGCATCCATTGACGTTCTTTACTTAAATATTGTCTCAAAAATCCTCCAGGAATAAGATACCTGGTTCCTGTCTACTTTATTACAATTGTCAAAGTGATAGATAATAGTAGATGGAAAGTGTCATTCATTATAATATCTAAGTCTTTTGAACAATACCTTTTCATATTTGGAACAAAGCCATTCTTTGTAAATGATGAGATCATGCTGTAATTTTGCATAGCCAATTTTTTCCCAAAATTATATAAAAAATAACAATAATTGTTTATACCTGTAGTGAGTGATACATGCTTCTAGGGGCCTCTTGTTTCTTTTATACAGGTTGTTATATATATTTTTTTGTTGTTATATTTTACATGGAATAAACTGTTACAGTCTTTCTGTTATTTTTTACCTTCTTAAATTGTTACCTGGAGGTATTGATGATATTGGAAAAATAATGATTGTCCCAGGCACGACATGTTACAGGGGACATAGAAATACTGGGTGTCTGTTTGTCGGTCTTTCCATGTGTCTCTCTGACTGCTCACATGTACAAATCTTGCCAGATTTTTATGAAATTTATATTAAATGTTTATATTAGCAATGTGTAGGACAATTTGGAAAATTAGTTACAAACAACTGTTTTTAAAGGCATTATGCCCCTTGGAAATATAGATTATATGAAAAATTGTATTGTAAGCACTCTCAAGCCTACATTTCTTGTAGGATTGTTATGAAATTTATATCAAATGTTTATATCAGCATTGTCAAGGATGAGTTTGAAAATCAAGGCTTATCAATATTTTTTACAGGAATTATGTCTCTTATAAATGTAAATTCTATAGAAAATGGCATTATAAATGGTCTCTAGTCTATATTTCTTGTAGGAAATTTATATCAAAAGATTATATCAGCAATATCTTGGACAAATTTGAAAATCAGTTTTTGTCGAGCCTGCGACTTTTGTCGCAGAAAGCTCGACATAGGGATAGCGATCCGGCGGCGGCGTTAGCTAACTTCTCAAAAGCTTTATATTTTAGAAGATGGAAGACCTGGATGCTTCATACTTTGTATATGGATGCCTCATGTTACGAAGTTTCCGTCAGTCACATGTCCAATGTCCTTGACCTCATTTTCATGGTTCAGTGACTACTTGAAAAAAAAGTTCAGATTTTTTGTAATGTTAAATTCTCTCTTATTATAAGTAATAGGATAACTATATTTGGTATGTGCGTACCTTGCAAGGTCCTCATGCCCGTCAGACAGTTTTCACTTGACCTCGACCTCATTTCATGGATCAGTGAACAAGGTTAAGTTTTCGTGGTCAAGTCCATATCTCAGATACTATAAGCAATAGGTCTAATATATTTGGTGTATGGAAGGACTGTAAGGTGTACATGTCCAGCTGGCAGGTGTCATCTGACCTTGACCTCATTTTCATGGTTCAGTGGTTATAGTTAAGTTTTTGTGTTTTGGTCTGTTTTTCTTATACTGTATGCAATAGGTCTACTATATTTGGTGTATGGAATGATTGTAAGGTGTACATGTCTAGCTGGCAGGTGTCATCTGACCTTGACCTCATTTTCATGGTTCAGTGGTCAAAGTTAAGTTTTTGAGTTTTGGTCTTTCTTTCTAATACTGCATGCAATAGGTCAGCTATATTTGGTGTATGGAATGATTGTAAGGTGTACATGTCTAGCTGGCAGGTGTCATCTTACCTTGACCTCATTTTCATGGTTCAGTGGTCAAAGTTAAGTTTTTGAGTTTTGGTCTTTTTTTCTAATACTATATGCAATAGTTCAACTATATTTGGTGTATGGAAATATTTTATGATCTATATGTCAGTCACGCAGGTTTTATTTGACCTTGACCTCATTTTCAAGGTTCATTGCTCAGTGTTAAGTTTTTGTGTTTTTGTCTGTTTTTCTTAAACTATAAGCAATATGTCAACTATATTTGTTGTATGGAAGAATTGTTAGCTGTACATGCCTGCCTAGCATGGTTCATCTGACCTTGACCTTATTTTCATGGTTCATTGGTCAATGTTTAGTTTACTTGGTTAATGTTAAGTTTATGTGACAGTTGTAATAAAGCTTTATATTTAGGACTTTCAACATAATATCAATGATTAGTAAAGAAGGCGAGACATTTCAGCGTGTGCACTCTTGTTGTAAGGAATACATCAGCTGTATTTGGTCACTAGGTTTGTACTATTATTGGTCACCTCTGACACCTATTTTGTTCTTCCTATTTCCAAGGTTTAAAAAATTCTAATAAAATGTTCATAATTATTATGGTTGTTTACTAAATGTCCAGTGGCAAACATTTCATGTATATATTCTGGACAAGAACAAATTAAAGATAAATCCAATAAGTAGGCTTTGCAAAATGGTTCAATAAGAATTGTTGGTACAGACAGATTGCAATTGAACAGAGGGTAAGTTGAATGGGACAAAGATGGTGCCTTGTAATAGGACACCAAGGAATCCTTGAAATGGTTGGAACAAAGGTTTTTCTATGCCCTCCCCCTCACCGCCATGGAGGGGGCATTAAGTGTTACCCTTGTCCGTCCATACGTCTCAAAATTAGTTTCCGTTCTCTAACTTAAGTTTGCCTCAACCAAGTGTTATGAAACTTATACACAATGAATATTACCACAAAACACAGATTTATTTCAAATTTGGGTGGCGTCACTTTTACCGTTCTAGAGTTATGCCCCTTTATAATGTTATATACTAGCGGGGCATCATCTGTGTCCCATGGACATATTCTCCATTTATTTTTATAGGACCGCAAAAAATTTTGCAGTTGTATAATGGTATCACGTCGTCTGCATTTGGATTACCTCCCTTACACTGCTTTTTAATTATGTATAAAGAAATGTTGTATTGTCTTGAGGTGATTAGCTGTCAATTTATTTTTAGAAGTTACTGTTAAAAATGCTGATTAAGGAATATTAATTTTAGCCATGATTATGCATGTCATTTTCTATTTTAAGACTTTTATGATGTATTTAAATAGGTAATTATGGTTGCAAACTCCATTGGAAATTTGAATTGAGATTATGACCATATCTTGAGGGAAAAAAAAAAAAAAAATTTGGAGGGTGGGGTCAATTGGCAACAGTTAAGTGTATTGCACAAAAGCAAAAAATTGAATATAAATTCAAATCATATAACCAATTCTAAGTTCTTTGACTACAGTTATTCTGTGTCAGAAACCTATTATGTGTCAAATATTTAATTACAATCCAAATTCAGACCTGTATCAAGCGTGAATATTGTGTTCATTTTTGCTTCAACTGTTCAGGATTGGACCTCTGCAGTCGTATCCAGCTGTGCTCGGTGAAGCAATTTATCTATTTATATGCATCAAGTGTGAGACTCTCTCTTCTAGAGGTATTGAATTGAAGGCAATGTCACCATTCTGACTTGACATAACTGCATACTTATACATCCTGCACAACCAAACAAACAAATCTCAGCATGGGTTTACTACTGGACAGGTCTAGGTGAAACAGTCAACCCGTGGTTTAAATTTTAATGACTGGGACTATATCTCAGTAGCAGAAGGTCAAGGTCAATATTTATTTGTTGCTTATCAAAGGGAGTATGTACATAACTGTCTTTAATAGGTCAACTGACCTTAATCACATTTCAGTATTGGGTTCACATAAATGTTTGAATGATTTCAAGAATTCTTGGGGTATTCATATATCAGTATTCATATATCAGAACTGGATGCTTATATTTCAGTATTTTATTTCTTTCATTTTTCAATACATTTTGAGTGAACTTGGGTGACTTTGGTTAAACTGTTAGTTTAAGTCAATTTTTTCAGGAATTATAGCTTTGGTATGAGTCAGTTTTACCACTTCAAACCTCTTAGATGTTAAACACAAAAAAAATGTGTGTTAAGTAATTCCTTCTTTAGGAAAATAAGTAAGTTTGGTAAACAAATTTTTTTTTTTTTTTGCTTAATTTTTTTTAACCTTATAAAAGAGGGACGAAAGATACCAGAGGGACAGTCAAACTCATAGATCGAAAACAAACTGACAACGCCATAGCCAAAAATAAAAAGACAAACAGACAAATAATAGTACAGATGACACAACATAGAAAACTAAAGACTAAGCAACACGAACCCCACCAAAAACTGGGGGTGATCTCAGGTGCTCCGGAAGGGTAAGCAGATCCTGCTCTACATGTGGCACCCATCGTGTTGCTTATGCTATTACAAATCCGGTAAATTGTCTAGTTCAGTAGGTCACATTCGTGTAAAGGGAACGGGATTGTAGTTACGACATAAGGAACATATCCGATATCATCTGTGAAAAGGTTATTCCATAACGGTCAACCAACTCTTGATGGCGTCTGTAAAATTTACGAAGGGATGATTTCAACTCACCATTTGGAACTCTTGGTTTAATAGCTTCCTTGTGAGCAGCAATCGTCTATCAAGGAAATCATGATAGGAAATACAAGCCCGGGAATATCGTATCAATTGGGAGATATACACTCCGTATGCAGGCACTGCTGGAATGTTGCTACATAGAAATGGAAAGTTCGCAATTAGGAAGCTGAAATCATCTCTTTTGTCGTAAAGTTTTGTTTTCAACCGACCCTCATTGTTAATTTCTAGATGTAAGGTTTTTGGGAACACCTGCAATTTTGTCACCATAAACTACCAATAGTGATAATGAAATCTTGAGGGAATGCATTTTTAGCCATAAAATAGTAGAGTGTATGGGAATCGCACAATATTTTTTTTGCTCTCAGTTATAATTGATCATGATGAGCTTTACTTAATAATGGCATTTACATTGATTGATTGTTGTATGTTTTACATACAGTGGCAATTATTTCATGTATATTCAGGACTAGAGAAAAAGTTAACAATTAAGATAATATGAAGGTTCTGCAAGGTAGGGGTTTACTGGGATGAAGAACAGGAATTATTGACTGCAACCAGAAAATTATGGCATGTTGGATTGGAAAAGAATTTTGTTGCCTAGTAACAGGCCACCTTCGGACCCCTCAGAGAGTTGTTTCAAGGCTTCTTCAATGTGCACAGCCTAATGGTGCCTCACTTTAGCAAGGGTTTTGCTGCTGAAAATGGAGAATTCCAGGACTGACCATATTTCTCTATACCACAGTCAACCCAAAGGTTTCAAGACATGTAGGTTTCTACCTTTAACACCAAATATACTAATGTTTCACAGCTTTAATTTTCTGATATAGCCCAAACGATTATTAAAAAGAAATTTTGCCATATTACAGTTTGTTAAGTCAAGTTTAAATAGGATATGATTTTAAATATACTGTATAAGCAATAATTTTCGTGGGGTTAAAATTTCGTGGTTTTGTATCCAAAAGTAAGTTCGTAGGGATTAATTTT